AACTGACTAACAAACTAAAATCAGAAATTAGAAAATACAAAATTCAAAATTGACTAAATTTTACTGAAAAACTTACATCTACCGTCAAATCACTATGGACGAACACTAAAAGGCTCCTGGAATTTAAAGATAGTAATCATCCACTTCTTAACGTAGCCCAAACCTGGTCCAAATCTGACGAAGAAAAACCCTAAATATTTGCTCACCACCACTTCAAAACCTTTAATCCACATCGCGATATTCTTAACCAAAATCACCTTGAATGTATTGAAGCAGAACTGGATATACCACTCCAAATGGCTCTTCCACCTAAAGCCTTTCATCCTTCAGAAATATCTAATATCATTCACAGTTTATCTTTCCACAAAGCTCCTGGACACGACCTAATTACATCCCAGATCCTAAAACTACTTCCTCGGAAAACCTTCTATTCCTTACTTATAGATATTGTACTCCAATCCACCTATTTTCTTGACCCTTGGAAACTACCCATTATCAAAATGATACAAAAACCACCAGAAAAAGCCATCCTCTTGCCGTTCTATCTCTCTTTTACCGATCATGGGCCTAGTCCTGGAAAAATTCATCCTTAAACGCCTGTACCCAATCCTAGATTCTAATCACATAATCCCAGATCACTAGTTTGGATTCCGCAGATCCTATTCCACTATCCAGCAATGCCATCGTGTGGTAGATATTGTCTCCTCTGCCTTGGAGCTCGGAATGAACTGCATGGGATGTAGAAAAGGCTTTTGATCGAGTCTGGCACCCGGGACTGCTTTACAAACTCCCTAAATTCCTAAATCCTCATTATCCCTTCCTATCTAGCTCATAGATACTTTAAAGTGTATCACATTAAGGCTTACTCATCCTTTTTTTGCTAATCCACTGGTGTTGCTCAAGCTCTTATCCTAGGTCCTATCCTTAACACAGTTTATACAGTTGACATCTCAACCCATCCTAACACTGTCATCACCACGTATGCCGATGACACATGTGTCCTATCAGTTAATAATGACCCAACCTCTTCAATCACACATCACAAACCTTGAAGAATGGTGTCAAAACTGGAGGATTAAAGTAAAATCCAATAAATCTCAACAAATCACCTTTACCCTTCGTCGTAAATCTATGACTTCCTGTCCTACAGTATCCTTTAATAATACCCCACTTATCCCTGTTGAACAAATCCGATACATTGGACTCCACTTGGACGAACGTCTAACTTGGAATCCTCATACCAGACTGAAACGACAAGAAACCGCTCGAAGTTTCCGACTACTCCGGCACTTACCAGACAAACGCTCTAAGCTTTCAGTTAATAACAAAAGACTCATATACATGACTACAATAAGACCTATTTGTACTTACGGAGTTGAAATTTTGGGCACCACAATGTCATTAAAATCCTCACGAATCCGATTCTTATAATAAAAAATCCTTCGGAAAATCCTCAATGCTCCTTACTTCGTCACCAATAAAATAATCCAAACGACCTTTATGTTCCTTATGTTTTCGACTTGGTCCAATCCAGATACCTATCCTTCCATAATAAACTACATAACCATCTCCGAATCCTCTCGTTTCTAACCTTGCTTCCTCTTCTATCCCTGATGACCCCCCGAGGCGTCTGAAAAGAAGATGGCTTCGAGAACTGCTATTGTATACTATAATACATTTTTTTTTTTTTTTTTTTTTTTTTAGAGTGGTAACAGTAGGTAGTTTCTCAACAAGTGATTTCATGTTATTATTTTCTGTTGTCAAAATTACTAAATGCATTTTAATTCTTAATACAGTTGTAATTATCGTAAATAAATAAATTTAAAAAAATGCAATAAATAAGCTTTATTGTTGATTGAAAGGTTTCAGTTTTTTCTGGATTGAAGAACCACGCCCTCTATTGACAACTGTATGAATAAAGTTCCCAAAAGAAAATTTTAAAATGCCTATAATTGTTGTTTCTATAGTGGTCTTTGGATCAGCGAGTTTCATACCTTCCTACTAACAGTTTTGCTAAGATTAATTTTAACATTTTTGTTATCTTACCTTTTTATTGTCTTTAAAGTTAAATACAGATTTTAGAATTTTTCTGAGATATGTCTATTACTGGTACCGATCCCCTGTCCGTTACTAGAACAATTGAATTTTGGGATGTCCGTCACTAGTGTAAAAAGGTGTTGTTGTTTTTAATTTGAGATTAAACCTGCATAACTGAATATTTTTCCAATTATAAAGCGTTAAATAGAAAAAGGCGATCCTAGAGATTCTAAATGTCGAACAGAGAACTTTATAACTATAATAATTACGGCGGCAAAAGTCAAAAAGACATAAAGTTCCTGAGCTATGTCAATCACTGGTGCGCTTAGGCTACCTAGATGAAATCTATTTTCATTACATTTGGCAATGTGGGGGAATAAAACTTTTAAATTTTATTATGATTAAATCATTCACATACATCTCACTGAAAATACAAAAACTGGAGAACTGAAGCCATAACAAATCGCGTATTCAAACGTAAGAAATAACATGAATCACAAATACTTTCTTGGGAAAAAAAACCTTGTGAGGGTAATAGAATCGCGTATCGTATATGACGGGTACTAGCAGTGGCAATAAAAATTAACTGCAGAACATTAAATCTGATCTAGGTATAAATTATGTTATCGTCAGTTTGACAGGAACCTTCTCGAGTTTGTTAACAATGGAAAATAAATATATGAAACTTGGAAATGATTTTGTGGACATTTTGATAGACTGGGAGGTAAACAGATTAAACCTATGACAGAGGAATAATAATTTTTACCTCGTAGGTCATATTACTAGAGCCTAGTGGCTCAAATGTAAAATAAAAAACCGACAACCACACTGGCGAGAGCTATTAGAAATATGTGGTGGAAACTAACAGACAAGGAAAAGGAAATAATTCTTCTAAAAGAAATTCTTCTGGGTCACTGAAATTCTTCCTTCACATTGTGGAATTGTCAGAAATGAACAGGCAGACATAGCAGTCAATATAGCTAGAAGAGGAGAAAGTTATAATTAACGGCAGTTATAATTAATGGAATTCCCATAGAAGATTTTTTTCTACATTTAAAGACAGAATTGTGGATAACGTGGCAGAAAAGATGGCTACAAAAAGAAGCTAAATCAAAAGAAATAAAAACCCACTGTTCTAAATGGAAAACCTGTAACCGACTTTCTAGGAAAGAAGAGACAGTCCTCTGCCGCTTAAGAATTTGGGCATTGTGAATTTTCACATGCCTATCTACTAAGAGGACGACCCACCTTTATGTGGGAGCTGTAAGGAGCAAAGAACAGTCCAACACATCATCCAAGACTGCCCAGTACATAAATATTTAAGAAAAAAATGGATATGGCTCGGAGTAAAAATAAATCCTGATTGACAATGAAAAAGCCGTGAAATTTTTTAAAATTATAAAATTCTACAACAGAGTATAAGCAAAAGGTGTTGCCAATGACCCTACTGGGTAGATAACTATAAACACAAATAAATAAATTCTTCCCTTACAATTTAATTTTAGTTTAATTACATAACACAGACTAAAAACCAATTTTTCAGAAATATGAAGCATCTTAATAATATGAAGGATTAAATAAGAACTTTTTTTGCATGTTAACGAAAATATTTTGACATGGTAATAGAGAAGTATGCCTAACACGTTGCCGAGGGTTGTTAAAAAAGGAAGTCAATTGTAGTAAAAAAATAGTTTTATATTCTTTCTGAAAATAAAACTATTTGAGATAAACCAAAAGAAAAAAAAAATGATTGTCAAATGTCAAATAACCCGCTCTTATTGAAAGTTTCCCGCCAAATTTTGAGTTTTGTTTATTTCAGATCATAAGTATTTGATTTTAAATTGTATTAAATCATATTAATTATATTGACTTCCTTTTCTCTTTGCTGAGGAGAAATGACGGGATTAATCCATTTATTTTTAATGATGTGGCAGATTTGGTTTTTCTTCTTTGGCATGTGATCACATGGACATGATACGTAAACAAACTTAATGGAGCGTTAAGGTACTATTTCGCTGGCGCGGTCCACGACCGCGACTGCTCGCGGTTGACCACTGCTTTAGTGGAATAGAAAGGAACCTATTTCGCTGGCGCTGCTCGGCAGTCTAGGTATGACGTCATATCTAAGCTGCTCGTATCTGACTCCTCTTGAAGCAGTGGAGCTGTTGGCGGTTCGGCGGTTGTAGGTTATGTTATCATATCAGAGTATTGTTTTGATGATAACAGTCCCGTCGATACGTTTTATTTCCTATGTTTCTTTTAAGTCTGGCAAAATTATAACAAATATTGTTTAAAACTGAAACAATGCAATAATAAATTATTTTTTTGAGGTTGAAGTAACAAGATTATTTATTTATTTATTCCACCAGCAATATTTTACAGCGAAATACAAATATACCTAAATCCAAACGATATTAAATAAATTAAAGAATCCAACAAATTTTATCGTCAGATAAATACTAAAATCCACCCATTGAAAAAACGATTTGTATTTTTTAATTAAATTAAATTTTTTAAGTGGTGATTTACTGATTACTATTGATAAAACTCTAAAACATCGCTTGCTGAGATTTAGTTACAAATATATGATATTTATTACTAACCAATTATGTATTAATTAGTATTATTTTTCAAACTAATAATATGTAATATCAGAGGAACTTTGATGATGAGCATCACATCGAAATACTGATATTCCTTCTCTTTATGAACAACATTTTCTCTTCTTTTTCCAACTCAAATAAAAAAGCGGTAGTCAGAGATGTTCATTATTATAGGATGTTCATTTTTATTATTATATTAGGTCCATCTTTTTATCTTCGAAGATACAGCGAAATGTTCGAAGGTTATAGGCAGGTTATAACAACCCCAGTGAGCAGTTTCAGCGAAATAGCTACGCCAACAGCGGTTGGCAGGGGGGAATAGCGGTCGCTGTCGTCGACCGCGCCAGCCAAATAGTACCTTTATGTTCCGTGTGTTTTTGTTGATAGAAGTAACCTAGCGTTCTAAAATGGTTGACAAGACTCCTTATAATTGTGTTTTATCCCAAACGTTTTCCCCATGTGGCAATTATTTAGTTTGTGGAAATAACTATGGGAATATTGTTGTATATAAGTAAGTTTTTGTTGATGTTTACTCAATTTCATTGTCATGTACTATCTCACCTGATTGTTTAATTTCTCTTTGCCATAGTTTGACTAATATTCTTAACAAATCTGAAAACAACCCGAAAAAATCGCCAAGTTGTTCTTTTACTTCTCCTAACCATGAACAGATATGCAGTATGGTGTCGACAAATAGATTTTGCATCACAGGGACTGTTGGAGTTATATATGGATGGGAGTGGGATTCTCTCAAAGAAGGGAAACCTCAATTACAATGGAAGATTAACTTACCTTCACCTCAGTAAGTATGAATGCTGTAGTCAGTTGAACATAATGCGTTTTTGTTTTTCTCGTTTCCTGTCTAATTTTTTCCATTTATGTATAGTATTTCACCCATTATCTTCTAAAGGACCATGTATTATACAATAGGTTAAATGAAACATTTGCATTTTTATAAAAATGCCTCCTGAGAACATGTTATCAGTTAATGAAATGAAATATCAGTAGTAGGTATTCAGTAAAAATAATCAAAAGCTCACTGCATCTTTTATATTTGAGGACTGTTATTATTGATTATCTAACTTAGTTTCCTACTGACTTTAACCATCTTTCTGAAGTTACTTCTCTAGCTTAATCGTTACAGTGTTTGTTTTAACACTGATTTTTTCTTTTTAAAAATCCTGAGAAGTGACAAATTGAAACTCAAAATGTTTGAAGAAGATATTTTATTAACATTCTGTTCTGAATGGTCACAAAATAGCTGAGATTAATATTAATACAAAACAAGTAAGCTGTATTTACTGAAAATTTGCAAATATTTATTGATTTCTGTAGATTTTCTTCCACAAAATTGTGTATTGTATCATGTAAAGGAATTAATATTATTTAATGTATTATCTTATGTGCAGGAAACGGTTTGATCAGATTGACATTAATTCCCTTTTTGTCACCGAGGATGACCAAGTTAAATATCTGTATGCTGGTTGCGGAGACAATAAAATATATGTTTTTAGTTTGGAAGATGGAAAACTAGTCAGGACATTTGAGGGTCATAATGATTACCTTCATAGTATTAAGCACTGGTAAGTTGATTGTGGTACTTTTTTTTTACCTTAATGCGATTTGTGGGTGTTTTTCCTAAATTTTTCACTACTTAAAATTTTCACTGATAACAAATAATAATTTAAATATTTAAAAGTATTACTTTTATTCTTATAAAAAAAAATAATGTGATATTTGTTCTATCATTGGTCAATCCTTTATAATTTGCAGAAAATTATTGTATTATGATAACCTGAAATATTAAATTTATATTAGTGATGTTTCTAGTTTTTTTTTTGTTTTGTTTTTCTTCTTCCCTACCTCACCTTTTAGGCTGTTCAGGGTTTTCCCAGGCTGGCGGGTAAGAGCAGGGAATTTAAAATGCCCCTCTGGCACAGGCACACAAACTCCTACTTTTTCATTTCTCATAACTTCGGTTATTTGGTTGTCGGGCAACTTGTAGTGCTGCGCACATGTATTAGCCCTTTCGGCCACCCCGCCCCCTTTATATTTCTAGTTGGAACATTTGTAATATTTGTACATACATCGAATAAGTTGATTGCAGTGTTGAAATATATAACTGTGAATAAAGACATTTTCTCACTATAGGGTGGCGACTGACCTGGAAAAATGGGAAGTGAGGGAATTTTCCAAAACAGGGAGAATTCAGAAAAAAATTGTTACTCAGAGAAATGTTTATAGTTTGTAAATATTTGTTGTCAAATTGGAAATGCATATACAATGGATATAGTTTACCTCTAAGTGGTAAACTTCATCGTTACAAACAACCACAGTCGCTATATTCATTCACCTTTGACTGTCTATAACAGCACTGGTCGTTATATTGAAATTAAACAAGAGTAATGAATAAAATTTAAGCAAAATGGACTTGAAAAAGTACTTTTTTGAAAAGAAAAACATAACAATACTATTTACTATTTTATCTTCATACATATTTTTTTTTTCATATTAAAGTAATAAACTTCTTAAAGGTAATTCTGTCTATAGATAATGTCCATTGGAACATTTTTCAATTTTACAATATTGAGTCCGGTCGAGCATCGACTTGTTAAAAAATTCCGTTTCACTATGATTATGTCAGCATCCTGATAATTGTCATTAACTGTTGGCTAAACTTAATTCCATTCATTGATTAACTGAAAGATAACACTGGCAGTTTCACAGCTACTTTTTTTAAATACAGTATTGTGTCGGGATCAGAATCTATGTATCCATCTTTACTAAATATTAGTTTGACGTTCATCAAATGGATAGCGAATTAATTTTAAATATTTGTTAGGCTTTTCGAGTAAAATTTGCCTTAACCCTGATATTGAGATTGGAATATTGAGAACTACCAATATTGTCGTCATTTATTATACAAGTCTTTCATGTATAATAAATGAATTTATTTATACATTATACATTTTTAATATTTGTGTTCACAAATATATTGGTCAAGGAAAACTATCATTAAATAGGGAAATGTCAGGGAATTTCACTTTATCTATCTGGTATCCATCCTGCACTGGAAATATCACTAAAATTAATAATAAAAACTGTTGCAATTGGAATTAGTCACTCTGCCAAGTGAAAGGCTCATGTATATTGTTTTATATTGTAAGGTAATGAACTGCATTACTTCGTAAGGTTTTGTAATGGGAATAAGTGAACGGCAATAATAAACTTGAAGTCATATTCATAATAAAGATCCATCAAAATAAAACTATATATTTTGTTTTTAATATATAATTTTTAACAATGTTAAACATTCTTTACCTTATTATAAATATTATTTGATATCTATATAAATTTAGGGAGTACAAAAAAGAGTTATATTTATAATTTAATGTTAATTACTTAACCTAAGATATCTAAAAAATTTCATCTGCTTTTCTTGAATTTGCTTCCAAGAGAATGCCCTAAATCATTTTGATTATTACGTAAATACAACAAAAGTTATTATATTGTTATTGTAATATAGTTATAATAAAGCAAATGTTTTTAATTTCTATGAACATTTTCATCATTATAACTGTGTTCTAGGAATTCAAAATTCTAGTTAAAAAAATTAATGCTACCTAGACTCATAGAAACTCATTTTTAACTCTCAGGTGTCTATTTAGAAGTTTTACTTTTGTTTAAATCTCATTGAAGATTTTTAAATACTAATGATTGTAATTTCTATTACTTTTAAATAAGCAATCAAAATGAATTGGTTTAGTGACTGGCAGATGGTGTCTGGTAGCGAAGATGGCACTGCACGCCTATGGGATCTGCGTCAGTATGCTCTGACTGCAATGGTTGAACCAGCTTCTGAGCATAGTTTAGCAAGACCGCATTTGGGCAAATGGATTGGTGATGTTGACGTCAATAGCAATTGGCTTGTAAGTATCTCTTTGCAAACTTTGAGCCGTTTTGTATTTGGAAAAGTTATATCAGGTTGAAATTAAAGTATGTTAAAATTGTGCTGTGTTTTAAAATTTTTAATGCACAACAATTTTTTATCAAAATAATAAAACCGTAATGTGCTTTACTCATTTCTAATGGCTGGAGGAATGTGTGGTATTGTTTGTTTTGTTCTTAAATAGGAGAATGCTACATCAAAATCTTGTAGAATTGTAATTTTAAGGGTGGACATCATTAGAGAGAAAACCATGAGTAGTATAAAACTATATACACTGACAGGCAAAAAATTCCACCCACTTGATTTTTTCATGTTTTCATCTAAAAATATTTCTGCTTTGGATTGGTCTATTGTTTTTATTAATAAATAGGTAATATTTTTGTTTGTTTTCAATTAGGAATGTTAATATAGAGGACAATAACCCTTAATCCTTAATTCAATGAAATGATTCTAGATTCCAATGTTTACTTTCTATGGAATCAAAATGTTTATTCAGTATCATTAGTTCAGTGCCGTTTCTTGCAACACATTTCTTAGTCTCCGTCTTTTAATTTTTTCAATATTAAGTTTAAAAATGCTTCTTAGTGCTGTGGATGTTGCGCGTGGTGTGGCACTTATTGATGATGGACGTTCCATTAGATATGCAGCTAATGCCATAGGAGTTCCATATGAAACTTAACGAGACGCCGTCAGGCGTTTTCGGGAAACTGGTTCTTACAATAGAATAGGCCCGGTTGTGGACGACCTAGGGTAACAGAACCACTGGATGACCGGTTTTTGACTTTGAGAATTTTACGAAACCGGCACCTTACCGTTGTTCAAGCGATTCATCAGCTCGAAGAAGTTCGAGGTGTGCAAATTTCTAAACCTACCTCTCGAAGAAGATTAAATGAGTATGGATTAATGGCTTTTCGTCCAGTAAGAGGACCAGAGTTGACCAGAACTCACAGAGTAACACAGCTGGCTTTTGCTCGAGAACACAGCCATTGGACTATGGACGAATGGAGTGCTGTACTTTTTACAGATGAGTCAAGATTCGCTCTTCGATCTCCAGACGCGCGTAAAAGTGTGTGGAGAACAAGAAACGAAAGATATGCAGCCTGTAATTTTTCCCAGAACCAACCTTTCCAATGTGGTTTCTTGATGGTGTGGGCTGGGATTTCAATGGAGCGCCGCACAGAATTGGTTGTTGTTCATGGAGGGTCTTTGACGGCCATTCGCTATGTAGATGAGATTTTGGAACCTCATGTGTTGCCTATCCTCAACGAAATCGGCGATTGTTCTATTCTAATGCACGCCCACATGTAAGAGCGCGTGCAACACTTCCTGATACACTGCAGGACCTTGAAAGGGCTCTTCGGGAGGAATGGGCTATCCTCCAGCAAAGGGACATTTCCCGACTGATGGAAAGTATGCCGAGGCGTCTTCAAGAAGTAGTGAAGGCAAGAGGAGAAAACATGCGCTACTAAACGATGATGTAATTAATTTCTTTTAGAATAATAATGGTTCGTTTTTCAATTTTTTTTTTCTCTAATTTTTCTTACCCAATCACATTTTGATTATTAAAGGTAAAAAAGATTATAAAATTCCATAAATACTAAGTATTATCTACAAATACCATGTATTATATACAAATACAACTTTTTTTACAAGTGGTAAAATATTTTTAGATGAAAACATGAAAAAATCAAGTTGGTGGAATTTTTCGCCTGTCAGTGTATATTAAATTATGTTATATTCTCTATCTAGCGAATGTATATTACCTTATGATGCCTACTCACATGATGACTGTATGCAAAGTAATAATTAATTTTATTACTTTACCTCTTACAAATGATTTAATTTAATTATGAACACTGTCTAAGATACCCTGCAATAAATAATATTCTGATTTAGTGCTACTTTTCAACTTTCATGTTGTTTTTTTTAGATATGTGGTGGGGGGTCGAGAGCTGGTCTATGGGACATGAGAAGTTTAGAACTTTCTGCTGCTTTTTCTGAGACTCATGATGCTGGAGTCCATGTTACTAAACTTCATGAGGACTCAGTGATGATTGGTGGAAATGATGATTTCTTTTATAGATTTGATTTAAAAGGAGAGGTAAAACTAAATATAAGTACTTACTGCTTGAACATTGTTCACTTATATATTTTCATTTATATCAATATATAAAAAGTATTATCTGTTATGTGCAAGTATTTAAATTACTTAAAGAAGAATTTAAGAATTTCTTGGTTATATGTTTGTTTAGATTCTTGGTCTTAGTTACTTTAAAAATAAAACATTAAACTTTTAAATTTTTTATTTAAATCCAAAGTTTTTGGATTTAAACTTTGTGCTCTCAATCAAAGGAAACTTTAAAACCATTTATACAATTCAATATACTTATTGTAATAATAACACTACATCTACATATGTGTTTGTTTTTAGCCATTTTGATTTTCGTTATTTTTATCTTCTTTGTCATTTTCCATGTTGATAAAGTTATCATTTTGTTAGGTGGCATTCAGTTATTACGAGCGAGAGTAAATAGCAATTCCTGAATTTTGTTAACATGAAAATTTTGTTTTTCTGAATCCTAACATAGTTTTTATTTCATTGATTATGAGAGACATGCTTGCTGCTTCAATATTTAGATGGATGAACAATCAGTTTAGTTCATTTTCCCATAATTATTTAATTTAACTATTGATTTCATTAATTTATATATGTATTATTTTATGCAAGTTTTCAATTTTAACATAGATTTTATTGCTTTAGGTACTCTCTAAGATTGAAACATCTTCATCTACAATATATTCTGCAGTTAATATTGAGAAGCCAGTTGAGGTAAGAGTTTTATTAGTTTAATTTATTTTATTGAGAATTCCTCCTATATGTATTATTACTCAATAAACAGATAGAAAAAAAAAAAAAAGAGAGAGAATTCCTCCAACTCTCCTACTGCTCTAAAAGAAACCTCATCTATTTGGAGGTTTTGATATCAAAGCTTTAAAATTAAATTATTTTCATTCTTTGATTAGAATTAGGATTAAAGTATTTCAATTTAAGGCTTTCTCTTAAATTAAGTTTTTTTTTATAGAAATGAATATGATGATCTCTTTTAATAAAAAACTAGGTACTGCTTCACTAGCAGGCCGCGTCAACACCTCACTTCTTATCTATGTTATCTATTTTCACGTCACATAACCTCCCTCTTCTTATCCCGCCAAACCTTTCAGTTATTACATTGTTTATTTTTCAGTTATTCCCTTATTACGTTCACTTATTAAATTCTTTATTTTTGTCCCGTTTGTGTTTATTTTTAAAAGTTTATTTTAGTCAAATTATGAATCTTGTTACATTCTGGGAATTTTTGTGGCGGTGGGTTCACAAAGAAGAAGACCCGTTCCTTGCTATTTTAAATAGCATAAAACTATTTTGTGTACCAAAATAAATAAGACGAAGTGAAAATAAATTGTACATATGTCGTTTATAGTGTTGATATATTTTCTTTTATATCTACATATGTTCTTTAAGTGTTTTTTTTATTATTTCATTTTCATCTTTTATATGTACATATGTTCTTTAAATTATTTTTATTATTTCATTTTCATCTTTTATATTTACATATGTTCTTTAAGTGTTTTTTTTATTATTTCATTAATATATGCGTCGTAAAATAAAAGTATTTTTTTGTTATTACATTTGTTTTTGTTTCTGTTTACACTTTCAATAACATGAATATAAGACAATAATACGAAGATAGGAATTGCGAGAAGGCTTATCACTGCCTTATCGGAATTATCAGTGTTCAGGTTGTAAACATTGGCAGATAGCAGTCACTCCCGGCCTGCTAGTGAAGAAGTACAGAAAACTATTTAAATAAGGCATAAATATTTTTTATTTTAATAAGTTTGATGCTGATTTGTTAGAGCATGTAACCTACAATATTTCCTCTTACTGAAGCTTATTCTGCAACTATGATGTTAACAATGTCCTCCCATTTACGCCTTGTTCATCTCCTATAGTATTAAGTTCATCATTTCTGTTTTGATCAACTTTCTAGTGTTACGTTCTTCATTCATTCTATTATCCGCCTTCTGTTTACTTTTGTAATGGCATAACTTCAATTATATTTATTAGCCATTGGTTGTGTACTGTGTAGTTGTATTAGCACCTCATTCTTCAGGCTAAATAATTCATGCTGTAATTTTATTTTCTAAAATAAATAATTCTTCCCTTATCATGATTGGACATGTTTAACGTACATAAATAATTGAGGGGACCTCAAAATACTGATTACCTTCATATTTGTACATCATCCCCATTGCCAACATCAGTTCTACTATTATTATGACTTTTATTTTTTCCCACTTATTATGTCAAAATCATATGCTTTCCCAAAGCATAGCAAGTGTACTTAGGACCATTCAGTTTTCGAGTAAAAATCGCCTTTACAATTGTTTTACAGGACTAAATAAAACAAAATTGGGAATGTCAATCTATATATAAATTTTACTGATTGTTGCATATTGTTTAATTTATTTTTGTTATTCACATTTTACACAGATATATTATAACTTTTGTGACCAATAAAATTGTAAGCCTTTTTAACTGATATTTGGTAGCTAATATTTTTTAAAAAAAAGATATTTTATTTATTTAGTGAGTCATGGTGCCTGATTCTTGACTTTTTCCTGCATTAATTATTGTATTTTAAAGGGTTATCCAACTCAAGACTCAGGGTGTTTAAGAATTGGCATGCACCCAGCCAGTAGGTTATTCAATTTAAAAAAAAAAAAATTATTATGATATTTACAACTGTATACAAAAAGTACATCTAGTAAATTTGTACATGGATATAATTACATGAAACACATGTTAAGGAACTATCCACTGGGCCATCTTCTTTTCAGACGCCTCGGAGGGTTATCAGGAATTGAATAGGAAGCAAGGTTAGAAACAAGAGGGTTGGGATGGTTATGAAGTTTATCATAGAAGGATAGATATCTGGATTGGGCCCAAATCTGAAACATAAGGAACAACAATGTGGTTGATTTTATTGTAAGGATTTTAGGATTTTATTACGAAGGATTGGATAAGAGAGGTATTTGAAGGTTTGGTGGAGCCCCATACCTCAACTCCGTAATTCCAAATAGGCCGTATTATAATCATGTATATGAGTCTTTTGTAATTAATTGGAAGGTTATAGCTTTTGTCTAGTAAGTGTTGAAGTAGTCAGATACTAGGATACTACCTTGAGAAACGCCTGTAGACTGGAAAAAGTGGGATGTATAGGCATTGTTGTGATTTACTTTAAAGTATCTATCAGTAAGGTAGGAATGGATAATGAGGAAGTATGTAGATGGTAGGAATTTTCGGAGTTTGTACAACAGTCTTGGGTGCCAAACGCCTGTTCAACGTCAAGAAAGACTCCTTTACAATACATTCTGCACTCCAATGCAGAGGATACTACGTCTACCATACGATGAGGTCCCCTGAGTCTATATAACCAAGTCCCATAAAATTGTGTGTGTTTGCAGTCTTACCCAAAAACGAAAAGTCATATGAAAGTTGAATTGCATATTTAATGTTTTTTTATGCCTTAGATTTTCAGCAACTTATTCGTCAAAATCTGCTGACTGAAAGTGGAACTTTATATCATTGATGTAACACATTTTTATGATTTTCTTGAAAACGGCTCTAATGGTTTTGATTAAATTCATGATATCAATGTAAAATTAAGCACTTTTTAATATAATGTGGGTTTTATTCTCATTGATGTTCTCTAACAGGGCTCAAATGGCTAATTTTCAATATTAGCTTCCCCTAAAGTACGTCTAATTTTTTTTATTTAAAACAATTAACTACTTCACATTGATCTCCATAATTAAAAATAGCTAAATATAAAATATGAAAGAATTTTATAATTAGCTAAAGGAGAAATTAGAGATCGTAATGGAGGAACCAAAGGAATAAGAGCACGCTTGAGCTCTCCCGAAAAATTAGAACAGGCTTCTATACGTAACATGAGCATAATATAATACGGACTCCGACAAAATGATGTTTAAGTACACATATATATGCAGTTTTCTTAAATGCTATCGTTGGTAATATTTAATAGTATAGATTACAGCAATATAAATATTAAAATTTGTATATATATGTTTATATTTAAACAAATGCGAATATTTGCAATGAAATATAAATAAATAAGGCGTCTATAATTTTTATTTTTACCTCTCCTTTGTCTGAAAATAGTTATTTCTGCTAAGAAGGGGTGGTAAGTGAAAGGTGTGTTATGCACGCACCGCACCAGATTTTTAAAATTATAATTTCTTTTATCACTTTAAAATTTTTATATTCAATTTAATGATTATTAATATTTATTTCATATTTTTGCAGGTGCTTAGTTTGGCCGGCTCTAGTAACAGTATTGATTTGTGTACAGATCTCTCTTACCGTTACCAGGTTCTTTCATTTTTTGATGAGGCTGCGTAATGCTTCAACTTTTAAATATATCATGTAAATATTGTTTTATATTATTTCTGTTTCAAATTTTTTGTTTAGCATTTAATCAGAGGAAACTTAGACTATAGAAGAACTGTGTTATTTTAATTTCAGAGATATCAATTGTAATTGTAAAAATCATGTTTTTGTTACTATATTTTAGTAAAAGAGAGAGGATATTATTTATATTGAAATACTTTACATATATTTAAAATATGTTGACTTAAAAAAGAATTATATTATCTTTTATAGTTATATAAAGGAATATTTGAAATGAAGTATATAACATACACACGTACTTGAAGAATTGTTGTAATTGTAATTTTTATTTAATTATTATTAATTAGAATCATATGATTACAAGATTTGTTTTTATATCAAATTCATTATTTATGTCATGATTTTTTTTTTATTTATCTGTTTATAAAACTTTAATTTAAAAATATGTTTTGTTTCTTATTTTGGTGTTATAAAACCTTCCCTTGTCTTTAAATTATAAGTGTTCTTACCTCATACAACCTGATTTTGTTTCTGTTAGGTACTCTTTCCTGTAACATTCATTTTTATCATGGATTAATATTAAATCTTACAAAAACAGCCTGTTCATAAAAATCTTACAACTTGTAGGCCTCCCCTAATTAAGGGGGTATTATGGTCTAACTTTCCCATAGTGACCAGCCGTAGTGGAAAGTAGGACCTCGATCCTATGATCTTTGCTTTACTAGAATAGCACACTAAACACTGCTGGTTCATATAATAGTGGCTAAAGAAAATATTTTAATATAACAAATTCTGTAGTTTTGTTTAAGGGCAATGTTGATTAAAATATTACTTTGAGAGTTAAAATAAGGTTAATCCATAAAATATTTTAAATTACAGACAATATTTAATTTAAGAAATGCATTATTTAAAAATATACATGACCTGCAATCAAAAAGTGTCATTAAATTAGCCAGAACAGAAATATAAACAAACCTATTTTGCAAAACCTTATCTCTGACTATTCTGCCTTTTTAAATAAACTGCTTTATTTTTTGTTACAGTTAAAATTTTTTAAGAAACAATAAAACAACATTAAATAAATGTATTAGTTAATTTATATCAATCATCGTTCTGCAATTAAATATAAAATTGCAATAGAAGACATGGATTTATAAATTAATTGATTACTTTATTTTTTTGTGTGAATAATTAATTGAAAGTTAAACTATATTTCAACAGATAATGTACATTAATTAATTAATGAAAGGGAGCATTTGTTTTATTTACCTATACTTTTAATACTCATTAAAACTGTAATGTATTCATAGAGTGGTAAGCTCATATTTCTAAAACCTAGAAAAGAGGGTTGGTAAGGAAACCTAGGAGACATTCAGGGGATAGTGAAAGTAAACAGTGAGGAGAACTGAGTGCATTGGTGTACTCCCAGTCATTGAATTAGAGTGTGGAAAACATACCAGTGCTCTAGAAGACATAAAGTAAAGACTGGATGAGCAGCGATCTCTTGTATTCTTGGCTGAAAATTTAATCGTAATCCATTTTGAATTTAAAAATGAGGTATTGTAACCACTGTAAAAAAATCTCCTGGACTTTATTCTCGGGCTTTACACTCAACTTATGTTATGAGCATACAATGAAAGTTATGATTAAATGTTGACACAAGGTTCATTATGGTAAAAATGGTTTATAAATTATATTCAGATATTGTAAGGCTATCTATATAATTGGCGAATAAGTCAAAAATTGACATGATAAAAAATTATGGTTAATGATTTTTATAAAGGAATGAATTCACCATAAAAGATTATTAAATAATTCTATATTTGATGTAAAGAATCTTAATTTTTATAAGAATAGATATTTTTAGCATAAATAATATTGTTCTAGTTACTTATTTTAACAACAATGAATTGATTTTTTAAACCCATATATATCAAAGATGAGTCCGATGGAATAAATCATGAAATCAATCATACTTATGCTTTTATAGATTTTTTTCACATATATTCTGTTTCAACGCCAAGGTCTGGGTGCCAAAATAAAGAATTTTGCAACCATGACATGACTTAGATATCTGCTGTGTCTTTTCTGTATAAATACTTTCCAAGTTTACTTGGAGTTTAAGACTTAAGTTAAGTCCAAGTTTAAGACTTGTTGAGTTCTTGGCATCTGGTGGATGCCCGATAATGTCTTAGGTATCTTGTTCAGCTATATTTCAAGTCCCTTCACATCATCTTTCCAGCAACCTTCCTTCAGCAAATTTATTTCTGCTGCCATAAATATTATCAATGGTGGTCGGAATCTCTGTTCGATGCACTGATATTGGGCAATATCAGGCATTAAAGACGAGCATCCTAAAAAATATTTATTTTTAATATTATAACACCCATGGGTGCTCATCCTCCTTCCCCCAATGACACAAGAACCCCGCCATCCCAAGATATTTTATTTCTCTTCTGTTCTTAATAATAATGCAAACAAAAGTAAAATTTAAAAGATCAAAGATCATATAGAATTATACTTACTCCAGTCTGTTTCCTCTAGTCCTTAGTTTGAAACTTTCCATTCTAAAAATTCATGACTCTGCCAAAATATGCCCCCCTAAAAAAGTTTGATGATGCAACCTGTGAACCTCCCCCCTTCTGGGCACCCCTGATAACACCCACTAAAATGAACAAGAAGTATTAAAAAATAAATGAAACACTAATCAGTACTTGCCTTTTTGGAACAAGTTTTATCTTCATTTGTTTGGGTAATAAAGCCCCTTTTATATTGGTTATCTGTTCTTTGGTTATTGGTTTTCATTACCAAATTCACTTACACACTTCGAATAGCTCTCAACATCAAGTGGACATTGCCAAATACAAGCCTCTGAGGCATAGTAGCTTTTACAAAAATTGTGTTAACATTTATCTTTAGAAGTGTGGAACACACTTATCAGATTCTTTTAAGGTCAAATGATAAACAGAAGGAGAAAGGACGCACTAGAAGGAGGAAGCACTTGAGTGTACTCTAGGGAAGAATTAAAAATTTACACTCTTCTCACATAGTGTGGGAAATACATGGCTAAGGTGTAAAACTTGGTTTCTTTTAAAGCCAAGTCTTGAGAGTATTGGATATTTATAAATAAAATATGCTATTGGCTTTTCTCACAAGATTCAATTTTTTTTTTGCTGCTCGCCTTTAAGCCTATACGGGGTTTTCCGCGGGGCGGGGATTTAAAAGACTCCCCGGGCACCGAGACGAGAACTCGTGACGACTAATTTTTATCAACTTGTCTCCTACATCAGGTTGCCGGGCAACGGCGGTGCTGTGCACACGCTTTAGCCCGTTCGGCCACCCCGTTTTGTGGACAAGGTGATTTAGTTCTTTCTATTCTCGTTGTAGAATAGTACTTGGCTATCCATAATTAACAATTCTTCCTAATTATAAAAAACGTGATTAAGATTTTCATCCCTACGTAGATAATTTTCCTTATTATTGGGCAGACAAACTCCTCCGCTTCTTTTGATCTTTATTCGTCAACATTAATCTAAAACAGGGGTCTCCAACCTGTTTGGCCCGCGGGACACATTGAGACTCCACTAAGTCCCGCGGACTGTATCCAGACCTCCCTTTAATTTCCGCGGGTCGTTTCAAGACCTTGTAAGCCTTGCGATGAAAAAAATATCTTGTTCTCTAAATGACACTTCTGTTGTGAAATGAGCTTTCTAAGAGAGATAATTTATGCAATAAATGTTGTAGGAACTTCGTGTTAGAATGATTTATTAAATATCATAATTTTTAAAATTTTACCTTGTAATCACAGAAACATTCGATGGTCGTAGTTTGGAGTCCCCTGATCTAAAACTTCAGGATTAATGACCATCAATGTAGATGATACTCTTAACCAGCAAAAGGAGTTCACAGTCTTAACAAACTATGAGCCCACACTGTTCTAAAATATTCTTTGATTTATAGACCTAACTAACTTCTTACATCACTAATTTAGAAAGTAAAGGTCTCGAGTTGTTTCTATGATTAGCTCTCATTTAGAATCTGAGATTGATTGATTGATTGATACATTCAATCTTATCCTTCCTTCTGAGATAAACTGTTGTAATGGACATAATAAATTTTAAATGAATCCGTGCATTCTTGAAGCAGGGAAAGAAGATAAGTGTTAGATAGTTTAATCTCTGAACTAGTGTTAATCAACAACCAAATTTGTTTTTATTTTAAATCTTTAAGATAAAAAAATAATCGGGGACGAGATGGCAGGGCAGATTACTATTTTAATGGGTTGTGTAAAACAACCATTGCTCGCAAACCTGATACCTGCAATATCTTTGCTTTAAAAAAATTGTTAGTAATACTTAGATCTCCGACAGATGATAAAGGAGAGAACTATTCATTTGTTAATAAGAACTGATATTATTTATTAAATTAGCTATTAGATGTAAAAACTACAGTTTAATAATTAATATTAACTATATTTTAAGAATAACAGAATCCATAACTCAATTCTGGTTCAACTTATAATTTTAAGAGAAATTATCTATTTCTCTGATATTGACAACCATACGAGTCACTTCTGAACGACCATCGAACTTTGTTTAGTAAACATCTCCATTTCAAATATAGTCATAAGTGTTCTTAACCATTTATCGTTTATACGAAAATATGTTCGTAAACTAAGAATAATGATGATCAAAAAATAATTAATAAGATAATTTATTAATTGTTCATAGCAGTGCACTGAAATTCTTTAAAAATTGAAAAATGTTTTCTCCGGGAAATGAGATTGTAACCTTTGCTTTGGGACATTATGCTTCTCATGTAGTGACACACTTTTATAATATTCAAGAATCATGTTTTAGCTACAATCCTAAATTTCAGTCTGGAATCAATCATGATGCATTGTTTCGAGAAAGTTCACATGGCTCAAAATCAACATACACTCCAAGGTTAGTTATTCTAGATGACTCTGATGCATTAGGCTTTCTATCCAGAGAAGGGTGTTATAAAACTTCAGGGAATTCTGCTGAAGAAGGTGGTGAAACAGAAGTTGTAGTAAAAGAAAATAAATGGGAAAGAAATGAATATATATCAGACGTAATTAAAGAAAAACAAATAAGTGAACAAGAGTCTAATCCGAACAATACCTTTTTATGGAAAAACTCATATAATCTTGATGAAAATATTGTTTCTTGGTCAGATTATATAATTACTGAGTTTAATAATAAGACTGTAGTAACTTTGCCGAAAAATACAGACTACTATGATAGTTATGATAAGTTCACTGACTTCAACTCAGGAATTTCCTTGTGGAACAGAACATCTCTTCATGAAGACATTGAAGAAAACACAAGATTCTTCATGGAGGAAGCTGACAATTTCCAAGGTTTTCAGGTGATCTATGATGGTGACAATGGCTATTCAGGAATTTCTTCTGGCTGTTTGGAACTATTACATGATGAATACCATAAAAAGGTAATTTTAGCTGTACCAGTTTTATATACTGACCTATCACGTAGTGATGATGTAGTTACTCAATACAGAAAAAAATCTAAAAAGATTTATTCTTTAACTTCTGGCCTTTCTGTGTCATCTCAATACTGTAATTTAATTACGCCTATGAGTCATATATTTGATCCTTGGGGGAAAAATCCTAGAATTCGAGTTATTAATAATATTAAGTATAGACAAGACTTGATGTATCATACCAGTGCATTACTTGCATCAGCATTAGACTTGTTTACTTTACCATACAGATTACAAATTAAATCCAATTGCTTACATAGTCTTGCAACTTCAATGAGTTATTATGGGCGAACTGTAGCAGCAGCAGGATTAAAATTGCCAGTTCCTATCGAGCGAGGAGGAAATGAATTTTCATCGATTGAGAAGTTATCAGGAAATTTTTTTGACTCCCTAACCCCGTATGTTGAGATAAAACCAGAAAATATTGATGTTCAGTCAGTTGCAGCAAAAGGATTAGGAAAAAATCAAATAGATTATAATCCAGAGTCAGTAAACAAATTTTTGAAGCTCTACTTATACAACAACTTTCCTAGAGTACTATCTTCTGTTGGTTCTTGTATATCCAGATTTAGGGTTCCACGGACTTTTCCAAAAGTGATAGATGAATCTTTTAATTTATCATTGATTGATAACTGCTACGGACCGTTAGCAGAATTTATTGCATTTGGTGGTATGCACAACAGCAGGGAAATCGGAAATGTTTTAAACAGTTTATACGAAAATGCTAAATCAATTAACATTAATAAGATTCCAGGGCTTGGAGCAATGGATTCAGAAGTTGATTATGCTGAATCGTTTGAAGAATTAAAAAATCTAAGCCTCAAATATTCTGATATTTCTTTTATATAATATCAGCAAATGTGTGTATATTTAATCAAAACAAGTATTTATTTTCATCTGTAAAAAACATTTATCAGCAATTTATTTTTACAATAAAATAACCCAAGTTTTTAAAATTTAAATACATTTTTTTTTTTTTATGATTACTTATTTACAAACTGAAACAATCCTATCATTACCCATATTACTTTTTATTATGTATGTTCTATAATTTTATGCTCTATATTTTATTTATTGTCTCATTGAATAATTATATTAATTGGATTCTTCTGATTCCAGTTTCTATATTTAGTTTACAGAATATAAAACTAATTTGCTGTCAAATTCAGCACAGCTTTAGCCTAGTCCACTGCCTTATCACAAACTATATTACTCTTGAAGGTATGCAAAGAGTATTCAAATATGATTTTTATTATAAAAATTATTTTAATTTATTATATTCTTAATTACAGAAATGACATTTTTCACTTATTTACTGCATCAGTCAGAAATAACATTGAATTGTTCGTGGACTTTAGCTAATGTATTTCCTTGAATATTGGCTAATGTTCCAATCACTGATTGGGTCATATCCTTCATATCATTATATCTATGGAGTTCATCTAAAAGTTCCTGAGGGTCTACATTCTTCTCCAGCTCTGTAATTACTTTGTCCAGTGAATTTTCAAAAGTACGCAAAACATCCCAAACTTCCTTTGTTTCCTGTTCAAAGCAAATTATATCATTAATAATTAAATAATAATCTAATTGAAGAGAAGGATGGTTGGGGTGATCAGTCAAATTGAAATGGTAAAAAATAAATAATTTTATATATTTTTACATTCGTTGACGTTTCGGCCCGAAGTTCAGGGCTGGTGTACAAGAACTTAAGTCAGACAAAACCCAATTATAGTGGGAGGGATTAATTAATCTAATCAATTGATTTAATCAAGATTAATTTTACTATAAGCCAAAAGTAAATTACACAAGTATAATTAATAACCACAACAGGTAATGTAAGGTCACTCAGTTATGTTTGATAAACACTACTACTCCCTAGTAAAAAACACTATGTTCAGCCGCATTACCGGAATAAACTGGATAGTTCAAGAATACAATACACTAGTCACTAGGGTATTTTTGAGACTAAATTAATATACTATTCTATGGCAGTAATTAAACTAAGCTAAAAGCAATAAACACAAATTGCAATTAAGTAAGTTATCAAGTTTGAGATTTAATGTACAAATTAGTGAATTAAATTGAACATCCTTGAAGAGAGTCCAGAAGAAAATAAATTAATTTAAATCAGGTGCAGAACCTTAAATAACTTTGTCTAACTTATATTTGTTAAACTTAATGAATAATAACTAACTTAACCAAAAAAGAAGATAGTGCACACTGATATGAACCTGGATAAACTTATTATAATTATAAAATATAATAATTATATTCATATTGGCATATGCACCACTATGCCTATATATTTTTAATGTGATAAAAAAAGATCTTAAATTTTTGTTAATTTCACCAGACTAATCACTATTATTATCATAACTATTTTTCAAGTTCATTATCAATAATATGCCTCCAATAGTCATTAAAAATTTTAGCAACACAGCGATATTCCACCTAACAAAATTTTGAATACCATATTCCGCTTTCGACAATTCCCTACTGCATGGAAAACAGCAAAAGTTGTCCCAATAACCAAACTGAATAAAGATTTGACAGAAGTTGGAAATTACAGGCCAATTAGCTTGCTCAATATCTTATCCAAAATATTTGAAAGAATATTTTTAAAGAGAATAAATAAATGTATATCCCTCAATAACATTGAGATTAACGAACAGTTTGGATTCAGAACTCATCATTCCACCGTAGCCCAGTTAGCTGGAGTCTGGAGTGTACACATGCTTGGGAGACACTAGCCGGCTCCAAGAGGGTGGAACTAGTGTCGGTCCCTGGTCACAAGGGAATTAAAGGCAATGAAAAGCCAATACCTTTGCAAGGAAAGAAGCGGAATTTTCTATAGTAAGTCCGGAACCTGCAATAGGAATATCCAAAAAGCATCAGCGGAAAGAAGTCCTCGATTGGACCTGGAAAACAGCAAGTAAAAAATGGAGGGAATGCACTGGGCTTAGAGAAGCGAAACAATTTATCAAAAGCCCTTCTCCCTCCAAAACAAAGTGGCTGCTGGGCCTAACTAGGAAATAAATCGGACAAATCATCGGAGTACTGACAGGCCACTGCAGACATTTAAAGATCTGTGGGATAGTGAATGATGAACACTGCTATCTTTGCAGAAGTGCACCTGAAACTCCCCTCCACTTCATAACAGAATGTGACCAATTTGCGTCACTCAGATAAAGACTTCTGAGAGCAGACAGAATCCAAGTATGCAAAGCTACCTCCATAAAATGACCCCAACTTTTGAACTTCATTAGAAGAACAAAAAGGTTTGAGACAGAGTAGAGGTACAATAGACAACCATTGGCAGTATCAACTTTGGGGTTGGCAAAAAGGACCAATAGGCCCACTTGCTGGACTAAGTCCCCCCACCAGTACCAGCCCAGTTAGTCAGATTAGATTAACTGATTACATCACAGCAGGATTTAATGAAAAAAATCATACTCGGATGATCTTACAGAATATCGAAAAGGCATTCTCACGCATTCATCAAAGGCATTCATCAATTCTCACGGTACAGTGATACATCCAGTCATACGGATTGGAATTGGAAAGATATCCAATCATCTATCCGACAGATCTTTTCAGATCGTAATAAACAACTCTAAATCACTCGAACATTTCTCGTCAGCTGGTCTTCTCCAAGGATCTTGTCCTTCTCCTATACTCTTTAACCTTTGCATATCCAATCTCCCTTCACTCCGATCAGTTGAAAGATCCTTGTATGCATATGACATGGCCATTTACACAAGTTCCCACAGAATAGGCACAATAGAGACTTAAATCTTTATTTACCAGACTGACTAACTACTACAAAAAATGGAAAATAAAAATAAACAAACCCAAAACAGCAGCAATAATGTTCACCAAACAAAGGTCTACCATAACAAATCATATTATCATCAACAAAACTAGAATCATCTGGGCTCAATCCGTTACCTACCTTGGACTGCAATTAGATAAGAAATTAACATTCACATCTCATATCAACAACAAATGCGGTAAAGCTAAAAAACTTATGAATACAATGACTCTCTACTTTCGAAAAAATTTTCTCTTTCAATTAAAAACAAAATTATTTTATATAAATCGGTTATACATCCTTTAATAACATAAGCTTAACCAGTACGAAGTTACACATGTGACTCAAACTAATAAAAAATTAGAAAGAATACAAAATCTGTGTATGAGAATCATAAAGGATTATCCCAGATACACAAGAACAACCAACATGTTAAACGATTTGGAATTCAGACAGTTAAACAATTGATATACTCCCAGACCGAAATTTTTTTCAACCTAACAAACACTTCTGTAAAATCGTTAAGACAGTAGGCCATTACAATAAACAAATTTTAAGAAGATACAGACGTACAAAACATATTTTAAAAAAATAAAAACCGACCAAAATATTGTACTACTTAACATAAGTAACATAAACTATATTCTTTTCTTAAATGTATACAGTTTTTATTTTATTGTTATTGTTGACTAAAATTTACATACTAATTTTATTATTATTTTCTTTATTTAATTTTTTTATTTAGGTTTTTATAATATTTGTTTCTATCAAATAACAAAGAATGTTACAAAAGTTTATAATTTTAAGATACCTTTAGTGTTAAATGTTGTACTAAAGCAGGACCGATTTTTATGTACATTTTGAAATTGTAAATTCGTTTAAATAAACTTACCATTAATAAACATCCATCACTTTTAATATATACAAATTTATTATTAGGTTATAATTATTTTATAAAGAATAAGTATTGCTAGAAGTGGTGCTTAAATATTATGAAAATAAAATTTTCTAAAATTTATTTGATGGACAACTGGTAGTTGTCTCTTAACACTAAACATACTCTTTAGAAGAAATAGAACAGATGAGACTTCTCTAAAGAAGTCCTCGGAGATTTAGATCGAAAATATCTGATGTCCCTGGACAAGAGTCCAAAAGAGAAGAAAACAAAACAATGACACAGAAAAGAAGTTAAAAAAAATACATTTATTTCATTATCTGAATATAGTTTTTACAATAGCATTTGAAATCATAATTATAAATCAATTTCATTAAGTTTGGGTGATTCCAAACTTAAAATGGTGAAGTGAAGACAAGAATAGATTCAAAATTAAATGGTAATAAAATACTTATTACAAAAAAGTAGATTAAAATGATAATGCAGAAAAGGTTTTGGAATACTAACTATAAGACTTTAAAGGAAAAAGTGAAGAACAAAACTTAAACTAGATCAAGGTAAATATTAATTATTTACCTGACATTTTTTCAATTTTTCTAATACATCTGGATAATTATCAAGATTCAATTTTTCCAAAACTTTGAAATCCATTTGACAATTAGCGGGAGATTTCATACTATCACGATGAATATCGATGTTTAGAATTCAGATAAGAACAACAATAAAAGAAACGAATAGATAAGGAATAAGCCGACACCCAGTATGTCACCTTTCCCCCACCTTACTAGTGCATTACATTGTTCTGAGAATTTGACTTCATGAAGTTCAATGTTAACACTTGTATTTTTTAGTTATTACTTAATAAATTAAATTTTTAGTGATTTAAAATTGTTATACTAACACAATGATATAAATTAGTGATCTTTTGATCGCAGGACCGGAACAACAAAGGAGGTCAAAGGCAGAAAATTACGAGTGAATTATTTTATTTAACTTAAGTAAAAAGTTGTTCCTTGGTTTGTTGATTCTTTGTTTTGACCTTAAATAAGTCGCTAAGAAGAGGTCATGATATCCGAGTGTGTTAATTAAAGGGTAAACTAATATTCTTGAGTCAAGCGACTTCGGTTCTAATCAGGCATGGCCGGGTTGAATTTTATTTCGTTTCAGACCCATGAAATGAATCTCGACCTTCCCACTTTGACTTGTGGCTGTCCCTTTAAGACAACCCCAGATTTGGCAAAGTAAGGGGTAATCGAAAAAAAAAAAAGGTCATCAAGATGAATTATTGTTATGAAATTATGATATAATTTAAAAATGTTTTATCTAAATGGCTATTATGAAGCTGTTACATTTTATTAGATGGTGGAGCGAGGAAGAAAAATTAGGATTACTCTCCATGGCAAATATTGTATTTTAGGTCCTGTTAATACAAGGCACGTAGTATATCTAGTCCTGTCATAAATATTACAAGAAAATATATAGATTTCAACAGAAAAAAACTTACAAAAACTTTATTAGAAAGTAAAATGTATATCTATAGAGAGAAAGACAAAAAAGAAATTACTTAAAATGTCTCCCTTTTGCCGTGAAACAAGCATTTAATCTTCGTGGTCAATCATCAATAGCAGACGCAGCACTTCTTGAGGAAAGGGCTCATTGTTTGAGCAGTGAACAGAGATTGTTTGAGGCTAGCCAACTTATGGTGTGCTCTGTGGAATGCCATTCTCTCCAGTACGGACCAAAGCCGATAATCTAGTGGGTTGAGATCAGGGCTTCCTGAGGGCCAATCGGAGGCAGAGAAGAAAAGTATGTTCTTTTGCAGCCACTTCTGTGTTGACCTGGCCTTGTGAGCTGGAGCGGAATCCTGCTGAAAAACCCAATGACTTCTACTAAAATGAGTATCATTTAGAGCCTTGTGATAACCTCTTTCCACTCTTCCAATGACTTCCTGGGCTTCTTTAGAGCTGTGTGCGTAATCACGATTATTTTGGCGATTACATTTTTCTTCAATTGTAAACATTTTCTCATCGCTAAACAAAATCTTTCGATGAAGACCATTGTTGTAATGGCCAAGGAGCACTTTTCATCTATCCACTTTAAATTTTTTAGGGAAGTAGTTAGCCTTTGTCCTATCATTCTTCGAAATGCACCCATCCTAAGGTCACTTTTTATTATGCGAGACATCGATCTGACAGAGATTCCCATTTCTTGACATGAGTTGTTGTTTTCGAATGGGATTTCTTCTGATTCGAGCAGCCACTAATCTCACGGCATTTGCAGTCCTCAGTGCGGAGACATCTGAGACAGCGGAGACAGACGGCCCGGTCGAGATCTGTCACATACAGATAGGAAGAGCTATTCGGTTTTCTTTATCACCCCACTCCATGTTAACTGAGCGAAAGAGAAATAAAAAAACTAATTGGGATTATTAACCTGACATATAAAGAAAATAACCTGATAGAGGTAAGGATTATCTAAATAATACCCAAGGATGTAAACAAAGTTCAACTTTTGTAACAGTATTTATGACTAGATACTTCGTTAGAAACCTATATAGGGTTCTATCCCTACGTCATTATCCATTCACAAACTTAAATATTTAAACATTAGTGTAATAGTCCATAGGGATGAACATTTTCTGAAATTGGGTAAATAATTATTGAAAAACGAAATTGGGTAGAAACAAACATAAATAAAACATGTGAATTGCAATTCTGAAGGTGTGTTTAGATATTTTACAAATTATGGAAAACACAATTATCTAACTTACGTAATAGCGAAATTCTCACTAAACTAAGCTGTTTACTTGACAGTTGACGGAAAATATCAAAAACAAGAAACAAAAATCTGGTGTGTCCACTTACACGACTTTCCTACCTATTTCAGAAAAGTTTTTATATCTTTACATATGTTTATTAATTATATCATAATTTTAAATGCTCTGTACATAGTTTTATCTGTATTGGATATAGCTTGTGCACCTAAGGTTTTCTTTACTTTTTATTTTATATTATCAATTTTATTTATTGTTTCAAACGTTTAGGCCAGTAATATTCTATTATTTTGTACATTATTGTTATTCTAATGGGACTTAGTCCCAGATTAAAGTTTTTTTTTTTCTATCTATCTATGTTCATGAACAAACAAAAAAGAATTGAACTAAATTTATTTTCCTGATAATTGATCAAACAAAAGATTTGAGTACAATATATTAGATAGACTAAAGCAATGAAACAGACTTAAGGTAGATCAGTGTCAAAATTTCAATACTCACTAATATTGCTGATCAAAAACTTTTTGCAATAGCTTAGTATTGTCAAAGAATAATTTCTGTTAAAAGTAGAGGAAATAGTGAAGAGTTTCTTACCTTCACTTAGTCATCTTTATTCTCTCATTCACCCCTTTCTGACATCAGGAAATGAACTCGTAATCTTTCATTGGAAATTTAATAGCTGTAACTTCGTTAATAGTTGTCCAAAATGAACGATTTTTATATGCCTTTGTAGGGAATTTCATTACCTTTCAAACGATAGGCTTAACGGCGTATTTTTTTTAACAACACAGGGGGCTCTGAAATTTGACCCGATTGCAATACTTTCCTTACCTAGTATAGGTAGGAAAGTAATAAGTTAAAAAAATGCGTAAAAAAAAGAATAAGCTGTATCATCGCTAATACTGGTTCGGTTCCGATGATTTTTTTTTTTTTTGTTTTGTCGGTAATTTAATTACCTTTCAAAAGTTTTATTATAAATTTTACCGTATAATATATACTCAGGGAGTTAGGCCCTGTAACATTTGTCTTTTCTTTATAACTTTTTTTCCGGATTTTTTTGGGAAATTTAGTCTATATACGAAAATTGAAAGGACAATGATTAGAACATTATAGAAAAGTTTCATCAAAATCGTTAGAGCTGTTTTTGCGGCTAGTCTATAGAAAAACATGTTTTTCATTTATTGTGCGCAAGCTATTGCGCATGGAGCACCGAATTTCTGTCACAGGCATCAGTAGTCAAAACCCTAATAAATAAAAAAAGAAGCAACAACATCGGTTTAGTAGTTCCCGAGAAAATCTTGGCACAGACAGACAGACCAATGGCTAAAAATGTGTTTTTCGGACTTAGAGGGCTCTGAAACGTGTAGATCCGTCGAAAACCGCATTTTGGAAATTTGACCCGATTGCAATACTTTCCTTACCTAGTATAGGTAGGAAAGTAAAAACAGTAGCATAGTGAGCCATTTATATATTGGTTTGCCTCAAAGTTTGTGAAATGTCTAAATGCATCTTTAATTATTTTTTAAATTTTATTATATATGAAATCTTTCGATTATTAATTTAAATAAAAAAACATCAATCATAAATATTTGCTGTCATAAATATTAAAACACAATGCACGTTGTAGATTTTACTCCACATAAATAGAAATATTTTTTGTGCTTTTGGAATTACAGATTTTAATCGAAATAACTAGAAATACTGCATATAATTATCATCTTAAATTAAAATGTGGATTTTATTTATAATTTATGGGATTTCAAGTTGGTTTTTAAACTCTAATTTACTTTAATCACAAGCTTTGCTGAAGTATGTAACTTCTACTAGTTTAAACTAAATGCCTTGAATTAGTTTCGGTCATACGAAAAAGTGCGGATTATTATTCTCTTAGTATAGCTAATCTGGTCAATGTGAGGAGTTCAAGGTGGAGTTGCCACGTACATCAAGGAGAATTATCTAGCCAGATGTTGAATAATTTTTTTTTCATTAAATATTTTTATTTCTGAAACTTGTACAGTTTATTTTATGTTTATTTTTAGCTCCTTATAGCAGTTGGTCCATTCGTTAGGGAATGACTTTGATTGTCCGATCGCCTTTAACAAAATAGGCGGGCTATCATTTTGAATTAGTTATCAATCCAATAGATGAGCTCAATTAAAGAAATCGTTTTTATCCTAAGTCTCTTGAGTGAAAAACCTAAAAAACATCTTAAAAATATAAAATGCAAGGCAGTAAATTGCTAAGTACACTTTTCTATGAGTTTCCTCCCTGCCAAAAGCTTTATGTATTTAAGGCACCAGAATTTTACATAGTATTTGGGGTGGTTAGTAAAAGTATTTATGTGGCCAAGTTATCTCATGATGAAGTGACTAAAACAGATATTTCCAGAAAAAAGTATGAAGGGGAGGTAAAAACATAACATTGCTTTGTTTTTATAAATGTGTTTTCTATTTTGATCTCGGGCATAGTAATTATCTTTTGACTGATATTTAAAGCTGCTGATTAGTTGATTTGAAGTTATTAATTGCAGGCAATCGAGCATGACAGAATTATTATGGGAATTTTGGAATTCGGAATGAAATATTATATGATTGATCAGTTAGGCTCTTTATTCACTATTTCTGAGGATGTTGGCAAGTAAGCATAAAACACGCTTTATTAACTATGTAGTTGATATTCAGTGTTATATAATTTTTAGTCAATATTTTAGTTTTGTTTTATCAATATTTTTTATATCTTATATTAGCAATGTCATCATATTTATTTTTATTAATTTTTCATCATCATATGTTAATGCCAGTCTTTTTAATTACTGTATGCATTGTCAGGGGTTAAAATGAAACTATAAATTCCAAGAGCCTACGCAAAAATTTTCATTTATTGACAATGGACATAATCAATTTTTGTTTTTAAAGTCTTAAAATTAAGCATACTTAAACTTTGTGGATTTTGAAATATGAAGGTCCTGCTTCCATATTGCACTTCAAGTTGTCTAATGGATTCCTAAGCCTCAAATATAAAATGGGAGTGATTATGGTTCAAATACTTAGTTCAATGTCATTTCAAATTATATATATTTAATTTATTTCATCATCTTAGTATGATTCTTTAATTAATTTAAGTTCCTAAACTCAGAACTGAGCTCATCGATGGCATCCTTTTGCCTAATTTAGAGATGTCTCTGATGCCATCAATGATTTCTGTGCTGTTAGAGAAATTATAAAAGGCATACCATCAACTGAAATTCATCATGATTACTAAGATGCATCCACTGAAATTTTTATGAAAGTTGTTACTTGAAAAATGTTTAAATCTCTGATAAATAAAATTTAATATAAATATTAATTAAATAAGACTTAAAAATCATAAAAATTTAAATAAAATCAATATAAAATAATTTTGTAAATCAACTTTGTAATTCAATTCATATTTGTTTTTCTTTAACTGTCTGATAATTTATTTTATCAGTGAATCAGGTGTGGACTACGATATTTTTGAAGATTCGCCAGAAAAACAAGATAAGTGGGCATTGAAAGATAGAAAGGATATTTTAAATGGCCAAGAAGTTAAAAGTTTCTGTTTCACAGATACGCAGCTTGGACTGTTAGTAAATTCATTAGAGAAGTTAAGTTTAGAAATTATCGATTTCCATGAAGATTTCCAAATTGTAAAATCAATTACTATTCGAAGCCCAGGTATAACTGCTGAAAAAAAGGTACCTATACATTTAAATAAATTTACTAAAGTTGTGATTTAATCATACATTTGATGAGGTAGATAAACTGCTTGTATTTAACATGGGAATAAAAAACAAGGCATGTAATAAAATGAACTGATAATTTATATTTTTATAACTTTTGTGACAACTGATTTTTTATTCTTGAAACTTGTGAAAAATAAAGTGGACAATGGTTTTTACACGCTCATCCACCACAGCTGATTAGATTACATTTTTTTCCTAAAATACCGGAAAATAAATCTGCTGTTTGATGTTAGAAGTTTATAACGAACCTAGTTGTGATAAGTGATTTAAGATATTCAGTAACAAAAAAAATATGTCTGAGACAAGGAATCATTAAAGCAGGAAAATAATTTGAAGATTAAGTATTAGTCTGTCTTCATTTCATTTTAAACCATTATATGTTAACTGTACGGATCTTAACTTGAGCATTTAAAGCGAAATCTTGACTAAAGGTGACTGCATTGGATTAATCAGCATGATAATGGTATTCTACTTCACATTAATGCTAGACAAAGTTCATTAAGTTCACTAAATGAATAACTTTTAATGCTAAGTTTTGTGGCTATTAATTATTTAAGATAAAATTTAGAATGCATTACCCTACTATAAATTAACATTTCTCCAATTATACCATTCGTCTTTGAAAAAAAGAAAATTTCATATTTTTATGTCTTATATTAGCAACTGAATCAAAATTATTTTTAGTTCAGTTTTCTTATTATTTACTCTGATTATTTTGAATACTTTTTTAAACACAGTTTGCCTTTTTTTCCCCATTTACTCTGTGCCCCACCATTCCTGGTTTATGGAGAGAAGAGGGAGTTGTTCTCAGTATACAACCAAACCTATTCTAACCAGAGTGGGAAGGTCGTGATTTATTCCATGGGTCCGCCACTAAATAAATTGTAACCTGCCCAGGCCGGTTTTGAACTGGTATCACTAGACTTGAGAATGGTAAAGCAAGCAACATTTCTACATGTTCAGCCACCATGGCATCTTTAACAAAATATCCTAGTTTTTTTTTCTAAATATTCCTTATTGGTTTGAAATATAATTAGTTTTGTGAACTTTAAGTTATCTTCTAAAAACGTGTTTGTATTTCCCAAACTCCCATCTCATAAATGTGACATACATTTGTTGCAGCATTATAATTTACTATGGATGCCTGCTGGAGAGAGTATTAAGGAATTTGTGAAAAATTGGTTTTTAAGTTTTAAAGGGAATGACGGTTTATTTGTTGTATCAATGCCTGAAGGAAATATTCTAGCTATTGATCCAAATGCAACATCTTCCGAATTTCTGTACACATGGCCATTTCCTGCTCTTATCTCTCATTGGACACCTTTTGAAGAAGGTTAGTAAAAAACAGTTTGCTATTGAACTTTAAAAAAATAAATACATGAAACTTTTTAATCCATTTGATTTCCTTTTTGTTAATAGCTATTGAGTAAGCTCTAGCATTTTCACTTGAACTTCTAATCAAGTTTTTATATTTTACAATATGGAAATAGTAAGTTGTTGAGAAGGAATTTGAAACCCACATGGGTAGAAAAAAGAATTTTACTCTACAACTCAATGGTTCCAGCATATAAAAGTAACTGCTGAATTATGTAATTAATATTTTTTTCTTGTTCAGGTTCGTCAGATGGGACTCTGGTGTTTGTCACCGAAGGAAACTGTGTTGTGAAGCTGTCCCAGTTTGGCGAAGTCACTAATGAATTTCTACCTATTGATGACAATGCAAAAGCTGCTTTAATCAAGAAGGATCTTTTGTATGTTTCTGATTGGTCTCATACTGTCAAATTTTACACTAATGATTCAGGACCAAAATCTGTTGCATTAAGTGTAAAAGGTAATTTTATTTTTAGTTTGAGTTCTACCAATGGGTAGTTTCTCTTCATGTTGTACATGTCATGTTACCAATTTCACATTTACTTATTGTGTTTTCTATGTAATACAGTTGTAAATTCCATTAAAATAATTAAAAAAAAAAAAAATTTTAGTTATATAACATTTTTTATTTTGTAAAAAAATATGTTTTTATTAACTGCTATTAGAAAGATTTTTTTTAATTCTTGATTAATAAGGTTATTATTAGAAATTTCAAAGAAGTATAAATAAAAAAATGTTAAGTTAACCATTCCATTCACCAGTGTTTCAACTGCCTCCCGCAGTGCCACATCCTACGCCCTGAAGACGACCTGCAAAGTGGGTCGAAACGTCGGCAAAAATTAAAATAATTAATATATTTTAATTTTTTATTTATTTGATCGCACCCTCGACTAACTCCTTCTCATATTGTTACAGTAAAGTTAAAATAAGGATAAGATAACATAATAATAAGATATCAGTGGATAACAAACAAGTGGAGGTTACATTTAATTGTAAATAAATAGATAACGGGACTAAAGGTTAAGAAGTGATCGGCCAGTGTTTCAGCTGCCTCCCGCAGTGCCACATCCTACGCCCTGAAGACGACCTGCAAAGTGGGTCGAAACGTCGGCAAAAATTAAAATAATTAATATATTTTAATTTTTTATTTATTTGACCGCACCCTCGACTAACTCCTTCTCATATTATATCAACGGTCAACCATCTTTACATCATTAAAAAAATGTTATTATATTAGCTATTTGTAATTTCTTTTATTAATAATGTTCATCACATACCTAATATTTCATACAGCAACGATTGCCACGAATACAAATCTTATCTTTAGTCAAGAAATTATGTTAGAGCTATTATCATTTATATGGCAGTTCTTTGCTTCTTAATAATTTTCATTTAATGTTTTTTTTAAATATTGTTTATATTTAATATTGTTTATGCCATAATAATATTTTTTCTATAAATGAAGTTAATTCATTCTGAGACTATTTTGAATTTTTTTTCCTCTATATTTTTAATTTAAAATGTTGTAAACAAAAGATTTTTAAGTGTGATTTTACTACATTTATTACTCTTTGATAAACTATCTATGTTTCCTGTGGCACTGAGAAAGTGTTCGATCCTCTGACCCTGCAGTATGCCACTAACTGTTTACCATGTGAAAAACATTCTATCATACCGAGTTATGCATAAAACATAAGATAAAGATAAAATAAAATCTTATAATTCTAAGCCTATGAAGTCTTAAACCAAAATGTCTAGAAGCTGATGTGTATCATTGTTTTTCTCTCTAATATATTCTATGTTTATTTGACACCTGGCTATGTTAGGCTTGACCAAAATAACTGTTTAATGGCATGCATCCAGTTGATATCTAATTTTTCGATAAATAAAATATATTAAAAATCTAATACAATTTAAGATTGAAGAGAAGTTGGTTGGTGTGTTCAGTCAAACAACCAACTTCTCTTCAATTATTTAATACAGTCAAACATCAATCCACAATAATGAAATTATAGTATGTCCGTGATTCTGTCCCAAGTTTGCTGATAAAGGTTTCATATTACTGAAAATCTTTTATGACCCTAAAATAAAGTGAATATTGTGAACTTTGCTCTAAATTGTTTTTATTTTGGGCAGATATAATCTTTTAATTTTGTTATTCTCAAGGGGCTTTGTACCAGAATAAAGTAATTTTCTATTAAAAAACTATTATTATTAAATTGGTTAAGGTGTTTTTATATGAAAAATAAATAAGACATATAAATTTTGTTTTAAGGTTGTAGATGGCAGGTTTATATTGCTTAAATGGGGAAGTATTTCATTGAAATAGTCCGTGATACAGACCCATTTTTATCAAATTATTAACATCCATCTAAAAGTTCGTGCATAGCTTCATCTCTTCGTAACCTACAAACATTTGATTAATGAGAATAGAAAAAAAAGATGGCCTTTAAAAATATTGGGCTGATTGGCCTATATAACTTTGTTATTTTGGGGATGGATGTTACACCTAATGGAGCAATATTTTTGTAGGCCACCTTTTTTTTTCCGACCTTGTGATCATGTTATCTTAATAATGATTATATTCAAGTAGAAAGCAAATGTGTATTCAGGAGCTCTTAGTAGCTAGTTAAATAGAGAACGTTTGCTGATCTCCAGAGTGAAAAGGTCCCAATTACAAGAATTTTTGTAAATAAAATATTTGTAGGTTACGATGAGATAAAGCTATTTACTAAGTTTTAGGTGGGTATTAATAATTTGATAAAAAGGAGTATGTACGGTGGACTAAAAGCAGTTCTGCCATTTTCTTTTAATAAACAACCAAAAGACAGATAACAGTCTACTTGTGTTATTTTATTTATAAAGTAACTAATTATCATTTTAGAAAATTCTCTTTATATTCTTGTATTTTTCAGGTGTATTATGCTTTGGAAGCTGTGGAAAAGATACTACTTTAGCTTTGTCTAAGAATGGAGAATTATATATTGTTTATGATACTTACTTGCCACCTGAAAATGAGGTAATTTTGCCAGAGTCTTCATTGACAGCTCTGTTGATGGAAGAAACTGTTAAACTCGAAAAAGTGAATAAAGATCTTCTTGAGTGTGATTCATATATTGCTGCTATCAACTTGGCTATTAAAAAGATTCCATTTTCTATTACTGCTCAAGTTATATACGGTAAGTAATTTATTAGAATCATTATTAATAAGTGATGAGCCATAATGTTGACTCCTGACACCCTCTCCCTTATCCCTACAATTTCTAAAAATTCATACTCATTAATATGAATAATTATTCGATATAGTATTCAATAGTAGCATTCAATATTATAATATTACTGTTTCTAAGTTTAACCGATTTATTATCTACTTATTCTATTTGTTATTTTCTTAGTTTATTATTTATTGTTTTTCGGTACGTTTTACTGTTTTTATTTTATTAGATTATTATAAACATGATTATGATTATAATAAGGTAGATGTAATGTAATTGCTGGGTTTGATGTTTTTTTCATTTTTTATATTTTAGTTTATTTTCATTTTAGCTAGAAAACTGAATTATACTATATGCGTAAGCCTTAGATGTTTACAAGATGGAATAACCATTCAGAAAAAAGATGGGTGGAACTTGTTTCTTTCATTGACAGCAGGACCGGATGTCATTACGCTCTCGCATAAAATGCGAACTGATCTTACCGGTGGAAATGTGTTGACTGATGTGTTTTCTTTTTCTGCTCAGCAACCTATTGCCGATCTCTATGTTAGGGCTAAGCTTATTTATAACAGTATCCCTAAATTTGCTAAATTTATACCTGCTATCAATATTGGAGAGGTGAGGATATTAGATTTACCTATTAATTAATAATACTAGTTATAAATTTAATTCTAAAACATTGAATTTGTTTGATAATTATTGTATATAATTAACTTTAATTATTAATGTATTAATAATACATGAATTAATTAATATCATTAATTATTAAATCAAGCCCGGAGGAGATGCCGTTGGTTACTTCTTTATACTTCTCATACCGTGTTCTTGATTTAATATTCATTCAATTCACTGGTTTTCATTACCATTGATTGGAAAATGTGAATAAATATTTTAAGTTAAAATAACATAACAATGTTCACAAAGTATAAAGTTTTTTTTATTTTTTGTTTATAACAAAAAACACTTGATAGATAAATTATATTATCTAAGATATCATTTATTATCATAGATAAATTTGTATTTTTCTGCTTCTGTTATTAAATTCTATTTCTAGATTATTCACTCCCAGCAGTTTAACAATATTTTAATTATCACTATCAAACCACATTTTCTGATTTTAACACCCTGATTGGCTAATGATCTTTTGTTTTGTAATTTTCTTTCCTTTTTTTAAATGTCTATCACTCAAATTAGCCCAAATAATTATTCATTTTCTAAAAAAAAAAGTATGTTTGTGTATATTTTCATCACGTATATGTATTTTTTTTCGTTTCAACATCATTTGATCAAAAGCCATACTATTGTAATCTACTTAAAACATTTTCAGTTTTTCATAAAATAAGTTATTTATACCATAGCAGTTAAATGATGGTTTAAAAATATATTGAATATATTGAACAGGCATTTCATGGATTGGTGAAATTATTTAGTTAACAGTATCTGTAAATAATGATAAATTTTAAGTGACATTATGTTTACCTTTTATATTTCACAATTTTATGTTTTATTTCCATAGATTATTAAATTAATAGATATTCGAAAGAATATACAATTAATCGAACTCTTCTACAACTTATTGTAACAACACGACCTCTTTCATGATTTACAATTACACCTTAGCCTACATTTAAAAATACATATCAATACTCACCTTCTTTAAATGTATTTAATAATTTAACCAATTACTTAGACCAATGCACGCAACTACCACTTTAATAACGTTAGGTATAATGGCCTTTTCTTATCTCACCCACTTACACTTTTTCGGCAACAGACGAAAAATTCCCTTGTCCCTTTCTAGCTGTATGTTTCTAGACACTCATTGTTACGTGACCGACATCAGACAGCTAGTCGCCATACTGCCTTCAAAATTGCCAGACGGAATGGTATATTTTGACTTTTATTATTATTTTTATTCTTAATATACCTACTACCTATTTATTACCCTTAATATACTCCAAATATCCTAATAATCCATTACCTTTCAAAATTGAACTGAATGTTAATAGCCATCTATCTATACTTTAACTTTCTATAATAATTAATATAAATTGTTTATTTATAATTAAATAATTAATATATATTGTTTGTATCTTATATAGCCCTGAAAAAGACCTGTAACATGGGTGGAAACATTGGACAATGCAATAAATATATTATTATATATTTAAGTTTCTAACTTCTCAAATTAGAACCTACGGCCAACCATCTCCGTACCATTATAAATCCAGAAATATTTTTCCTACAATTCTTAAGTTAATTTTGAAACTATTGTAAAGGTGTTAAAAATATTTCATTTTGTTTTATCACTGATCAAATAGTAGGAAAAGCTAGAACCTTCTACACTTTGTTTTAATGTTTATAATATTTAAATTCAATTATTCCTACTTTATTTTGTTTTTAAATATAAAAAAAAAATCTTGAATATATATATTTTTTTATGAAGAAACACTGTATACGTACTTAAAGTTTTGTAAATGATCATGTTTCTTAATCAGAGAAATATTTCTATTGAGAGATATCTTGAAAAATTTACAATTCTTGACAATGATGTTTAATCTGCTTCATAAATTTTTAAAGTAATTTCAAAGATATATTTAAGTTACTAGATTTAAAATATTAACCACAGTATAGAAAATTTGAGAATAAATGTAAAGTTCTAGATTAATATTTCAGATTTTTTAAGTATGGTTATATATAGCTTTTCATTTCAGTTATTGTTCAAAAAGATTTTGTTTCAGGTCTTTTTGGATCCAAGTTACTTTCTCCAACCTGCTATAGAAGTAGAGTTATCTGAAGTGGAGTCTCATCCTAGCTTGGAGAAAATTCTCGAAAAAGGTTCAGATTCCGAAATGGAAAAACAAGATATTGCTGAGAGTGAAATAGGAAAAAAAAAGGAAATTAAAATCATTGTTGAATATCGTGATACACTTGTGGGTGGTACAATTTTTAAATGGCTTCTTGATCATAGCAAACCTCTTTGGAGGTCATCATTATGGAGCAGTTGCAGTTAAGTAATTACTATTTTGTAATAATAATTTAAATTCAACTATGTAACTTAGGGTGGTTTAAAATCTTAAAACTTGTGAATACTTGTTAATATTACCAAGGATTTACTCTTTATTTCGATTGGGTTTATTCAAATGATTTTTGATTGGGGATTCAACATGATTAATCGATATGAATAAATCCGTTTTATCTAGTGAATAATACATTATTTTTTAAAAACTGTAAATTTCATACATCTTGATTGTAAGGGAGTTGTTTTATATTTGATTTGTTATCAAATACAAGTTTGTAGTTAATTAAAGCTGACATGTTTGAAGCATGCATTGTATATCACATTAAAAAGCTATCTTTTTGCATAATTTAATTTTTAAGTGACATCCACAAAACATGGTTGTTTATATATGCAATGTAATATTATCCAGATAGTTCATTCAGTTCCCGCAGTTGTTAGAGCTTTATGCTTTACCATGGCAGATAAAGCAATAATTTACAATTTAAGTGTTTAGCTTGTTCACTGGATAATATTTCTTTTGGTTTAATAATTAAGAAGACACAGCAACCCCTAACTTATACTAATGCATTATTGTACTTGGTCAAGACCTATTTATTTGGTACTGATTTATATTTGGTTTGTATTTATCTCACTAAGAGCAGTAGCAATCAAGGATTTAGTTTTGGGGAGCTTTGAATTTTTTTTAGTGATCTTTGAAGCCCTATCAAAAACAAACAAAAAAAAACTAGGGATAATTATTCTTATTTTTGACACATGCTTACATATAGTTGAAATATGTGTATTATAATTTGAAAAGAGTACATATTTTGATTGTTTAAGTATTTAGTTTAGATCAATAAAAGAAGTAAATATGGGGCTATGAAAAAAAAAAAAAATATATATATATAAATATATATATATATATATATATATATATATATATATATATATATATATATATATATATATATATATATATATTCCATTTTGGGCTTTAAAATTCTAGGGCTGGTTTAGTTCTGAAAGATTAAGGATCTTGATATCCGCTTAAAAAGTTTTATAACATAATTTATTCAATCTCGATCTGTCCACTTTTAAACCTCCTAATTTTTTCTATGTCTTTATTGTAGTTGCAGTAAAGTTTAACATATTGAAATTAGGATTCGTCCCTTCTCCATGATATTCCATTTCATTTCATACCTCATTCGTCAAAATTCATTGCTCCTGAACGCCCGAAAAAAAGGTCTATACTGCAATATTAAATGTAGTGTAAATATCCAAAATATTTTGAAATATCTTTGTTCAAAAGTGTCCTCAATTTTCTTCCTTAGAAATCTATCTTCTTTACAGCAAATGTTCATCACATCGATCTACTTTCGAGTTCCCCTAATCACTTTGTATTTTTATTTTTTATTGCTTTTGTTGATTTAACCTTTTTAGTCATTTGATTGAAACTTTATCATTATGAATACTCAAACAACCCTTCATAAATTGATATTTACAGGTGAAACAAAAAAACTGGAAGTTGCCATACTTGGGCATGTAGTAGCTTTAGAGGATTGCGGCAGCCATATGGTAATAAGTGGAAAAGATATTCATTCCTGCTATGCATTGAAAAGAGCGTTACTTTCCTCTCTGCCTGGAGCCAAGGAGCTATCCCTTCCTGTAGAATCAATGAAGCAGCTTGAGGTATACATTCAGTCCATTATCTTGACTGACTCTTTTTCAGTTTTCTTATTTTTTACTAAAATTTTTATAACTGCATTTTTGTTAGATCAGTTAAAATAAATAGTAATGTATCATTATAAAATAAGGCTGTTTTATTTCTTTACCATATTTATTTCAATTTACATAGCTACGTTTCGGCCAGTAAGCCATCTGTAAGATAAAACCTTTTTTTTTTCACATAAACACATTTTTTCACCTAAAACAAGCTCATGGAGTAATGTGTCATAATTCAATAGCTAATTGCTAGTCTTTTCTACTAAGTAGCTTGTTTTTTTCTAAACATTCCATTTCAGTAGTTTTCAAAAGATGAAAATTAATTGATCCATACAAAAAGAAAAAAAATCAATCCAATTTTGCTTCAAAGTTTTCTCACTCTCTCTCTCTTTTTTTTTTTTTTTTTTTTTTTTTCGTTAACGAAATTTACAACTGTAATTAATAATAAATACAACAAGTAAATATGAACAAGTAATATGACATGTACAACATGAGGAGAAACTATCCATTGGTAGCACTCCAATTATATTTCTATATTAGAAGGTCCCGAGGTCTCACACTCTTTTGAAATTTATTTTGATATTTATTATTATTTGATTTTGACGTTTGGAATATTAATTTTTCTGGAATAATAGTAATAAAGGTGAATAGATGTGATATAATTTTATCAATTAATTATGGTAGCCTTGGTATTTACAAAACTCTTCTAGCTTAAAGTTTTTATTCCATAATCAGATAAGCTAAGAGTCTTGAAGGAAATTAAATCTTGGTAACAAAACTCATTTTCAAAATGATGAACTTATTAATTTTATTTAAACTTCATTATCTATTTGTAAAATAGCTTACATTAATACATGTAGGTCAGGATTCATTAAAAAGATAAAATTTGAAAACTTTTAAATTTTCTCTGAATTCATTAATTTGATTTACTTTGCTTTAGATTTTTGAAAGAACAGCTGATCTATATCTACATGAAAGTCCCTCTATCGAAGAACTTGAGAAGTTGAGAGAAAATTTTAGGAAAAGTATTTCGTCACACTTGAAGGCTTAATTCCCTCTCTTTCTTTTTTAATGATCATACTGAGTATTGGTGCTGCCATCATTATGGGATGATGTATGGATCCTCTGTGGAGAAAAATATATTTTTTTATATTTATATCAAAAACTATTCCATTGTTCAAAAAAATAGATATCTTAATTTAATATAATTTTCTATTTCATTATATGTATTACTGTACAACATTGTAAAATATTTGTAATTGGTAATTGGTTGACTGTCATGGATAATGAAGAGAAGAATAGTTGGGGTGATCAGTCAAAATTTTTTTTATTTTATATTTTTTTATTTTTTATTATCTTTTTTACCATCATTACTTATGTTTCTCATACCTTGTTATCTGGTTATTTTCTTAGCCCTGATGAAGGCCTGAACTTCAGGTCGAAACGCCGGCATATGTAAAAAATAAATATTATAATTTATTTTTGCCTTCCTTTTTGACTGAACACCCCAACTATTCTTCTCTTCATGTAAAATATTTGCTCTTAAACTATTATCCTATTATGAATATATTTACAAATAGAAACCAACTAAATAAAAAAGCAATTCTGATTGTGCTATATAGCATGCATCATTACATGAAATGTTTAGGTTTAAAAAGTTTAAATAAACAATGTAGTAGGATTGCCAGTAAAATAGTTTCTGATTGCAGCAGGTCATCTGATGCTTTTTTTCGAAGGAAATCATTGGTATTTGATAAAATACCAATTATTAGTTTTTCAAGAGAGAAGTTTGAAATTCATTAATATAGCTCAAATTAGTTAAGAGAATTCATAAAACATTGTAAAATAAAAAGAATATTATTTTATTGGAGAAAACAAAAAAATATGTAATAATTTAGGATGTAGATAAAAAATTTTTCCTGAAAAAAAATTATGTTATTTTGCCGGCTTACCATTGTAAATTGATTGTATTTTTGTAAAAATATAATGTAAATAAATGGAAATGAGATGATTAATTACAAAATACATTTTTATTGAGTTAAATGGTCTTAGGTACCCATAATCACAAAACTATCTAAAATCATGATTTTACTCATACTTCCTGGTTATTAAGTATGGGTATTGGTGTTGATATTTTTAAGTCAGTATCAGAAAATTACTTGTGACTAATGACAAAATTATCTATACCAGAGTAAATGGATTATCGTAAACATTATAATCATTATCAATATTTATATTAGACCGGATTTTTAAAACATTAGACAGGTATTTAATTATTTATTTTTAAATTTTTTCATAGCCCCTAAGATATGATATTGATATTTCAGTACTGATGGAATGGAATCACTTGTACTGTATGGAATGCCTTCTGAGAGAGTCATGAGGAATTAGAATTGGTGAAAATTATAATTGTGATAAAATGAATGTTATTCTGGTGGTGAGGTTCACAAGTTGTCTTGTGTCATTCCTTTTAGTAGTCCTCAATCTAGTTTAGTTTAAGGCTTTTTGCACTTTTAGCCATGCTGTCATAAAATGTGGATTAGTTCCATTTTATAGGCTATCAAACAAATTAATATACCTGTGTGTTATAAACTGTTATCACAGCCTGTAGCCTTGTGGAGTAAATCCTTTTTTTTCCTCCTCTTTAATGAAGTAGGTCTTATATCATCCAACATGTCTCCACACAATGCTCTGAAACATCTGGAGTTTATTTGTCATTGAGGCTGATATATTTGCTAGCATTGGCCCTTCATTATGGAGAACCAGTTTTAGGCTACTTTTTTATATTAATAATTTGAGAGAGAGAGGGATCGATTAATAAACAAGAAATACAATAATTTCAACTTTATATCTATCATTTTGGATATCAGGTACTTGAAACTAACATTAATAATATTAATGAAGAGAAGAATAGTTGGGGTGTTCAGTCAAAAAGGAAGGCAAAAATTCTCATCATGAGAAAAAAACGAAAATAATAATATTCTTGACTCATAAAAAAACAACTTATTTTTATTTACAATAGAGCTATCATTCAATAAATAAACCTGTCTACCTGATTGGAAGTGGGCCAGATTGGGCCAGAATATTTGTGGGCCAGATTAAAAGTGCTAGTTTGGAGACCTCTAGTATAGATCAAGAGTATTCAAACTACATCTGGCTGGCAAGGATTTACTCTCATCATTCATTTATTCTCCCTTCGACACTTAAGGAGAAAGCCCTTATGAAGGCCTGAACTTCAGGTCGAAACGTCCGCATTTGTAAAAAATAAATATTATAATTTATTTTTGCCTTCCTTTTTGACTGAACACCCCAACTATTCTTCTCTTCATTATCCATGACAGTCAACCAATTACCAATTAATAATAATATTAATATTTTATATCCAATTCAGGTGATAAATTTTACCTTGTATTCTTATAGAATAAGTACTCAATTAATTGGTAATATAAACAATATAAAATAATTCTATGTAAATAGAACATACTCAAAGTATATACTTAAGAGGAGTGATAAGCAGTTAAAAAACCTAGGAATTTGGTAGGCCATGAGCTCCTAGACAGATTATTTATTGAATGATAGCTCTATTGGAAATAAAAATAAGTTGTTTTTTTATGGGTAAAGAATATTGTTGTTTTTATTATTATTAATTTTTTTTTGGCATTTCAAAAATTAATTTACCCAGGCCTCAATGGTCTAGATCAGGGATCTCCAAAGCTTTAGGTCCTTAGGCCACATTGAGACCCTCACTTAGTCCCATGGGCCCAGGATTGTGGTAAAAAAAAAAAAAAAAAAAAAGGTTTGTTCTATAAATGACCTTTCAGTTGTGATAGGAACTTTCTAACAGAAACAACCCATACAACATAGTTGTAATAACCTTGTGTTTGAGTGATTTACTAAATTTTATATGTTTAAATAGTTTTCAAAATTTTACCATGTAATTTAATACCAGGTAAAAATATTTGTGGGCCAGATTAAAAGTGCCAGTTTGGAGACCTCTAGTCTAGATCAAGAGTATCCAAACTAAATCTGGCTGGGAAGCACTTCCAATCTGGTAGACAGGTTTATTTATTGAATGATAGCTCTATTGGAAATAAAAATAAGTTGTTTTTTATGAGTCATGAATATTATTATTTTCTTTTTTTTGGTAATTCAACAATTATTTGGCATTAGTAATTCAACAAGGCCTCAATGGTCTAGACCAGTGATCTCCAAACTTTAGGTCTGTGGGCCACATTAAGACCCCCACTTAGTATCGCGGGCCAAGGATTGTGGTGAAAAAAAAAATTATTTAATAAATGACCTTTCAGTTGTGATAGGAACTTTCTAACAGAAACAACCTATACAACATAGTTGTAATAACCTTGTGTTTGAGGGATTTACTAAATTTTATATATTTAAATAGTTTTTAAAATTATACCATGTAATTTAATAACATGTAAAAGTATTTGCGGGCAAGATTGAAAGTGCTGGCTGGCTAGATCCGGCCCGCAGGCCGTAGTTTAGAGAGCGCTAGTCTAGATCAAGGGTCTCCAAACTACATTTGACTGGCAAGCATTTCCAATCTGGCCCCAAAAGTTTTTTATTATTTGGTAAAATTATTAAAAATATATCAAATTACTCACACAAGAGGTTATAAAATAAATATCAAGAGGTTATACAATATTTATTGCATGTTTTTTCCCCTTAGAAAGCTCAACTTAATTGTCAAGTCCAACAAGTTAATTATCATTTATAGAACAATATCGTTTTTTTTTTCTATCACAAGCCATGCAGGAGATCCATGACCCATTGGACTCAAGCGAATGTCTCAATACAGCCCCCGGGATTTATTGGAGATGTAATGTGCCTTTTCAGTTGAGTATATAATGGCTTTACCATTCCCAACAGCCTATAAAGCACAATCATTACTATTTGTTGTCTGTATTTATAATTGTGGCATTTAATTTCCTTAAAATAATCACTTTTTTTTGTTTGGAACTTGGTTCATCATTAATTTCCATTCTTTAAATATAGTACATGGTACAGACCCCTTTTTATCAAATTATTAACATCAGGCTGAAATTTCGTAAATAGCTTCATCTCATACATTACATCGAAATATTTAATTTGCGAAAATTCTCGGAATAGGGGCATTTTCAATCTGGAGATTGTCTATTTAATTAGGTACTAAAAACTCTTAAATGCCCATTAGCATTCCACTTTAATCATAAGATAACTTGAGCATAAAGTCGAGAAGAAAGATGGCCATCGAAAATTTTGACCCGTTTGGTGTAATCTACACCTTCAAATTGTCAAAATAACGAGGTTATATAGGTCAAACGGGTCAATATTTTTGAAGGCCACCCGTTTTTTTTTTTTAGAATTTGTACTCAAGTTATCTTACGACTAAAGTGGAAAGCAAATGGGTATTTCCGAGTTTTTAGTTCCTAATTAAATAGATAAAGTTTGCCTACCACCATAAATGCTCCAATTCCAAGAATTTCCGCAAATAAAATATTTGTAGGTTACGATGAGATGAATTTATTTACGAAGTTTCAGCCGGATATTAATCATTTGATAAAAAGGGCCTGTACCACGGACTAAGAAGTTAAACCTATGATAGTTGTTCTCTAAAAATCTAAAATATTAAGAGATGTCTTTTCTCTCGTTAAAAGGATCCATTTTTGATTAATTAAACTTCGATCTATAAAAGCTTGCAGACTTTAGAAGGGAAAGAAATCATCTTTTCGGAGAATGGCGCACCAATCAGAAACATTGATGGCCAAGTTTAAACCGAAAACTTGGAGAGTAATAAATGAGTATTATACCGTTTAGCTAGAGATTATCTACAAACCTAGGTATATTGGTTTTGAAACAATCATAAACTTCAACTTAAACTAGAACATTACGAACTTAAAAGTGGCTCCTTCTTTCAGTTTCAGAAGATTTGACAAACGAGGACAATTAGCAAAATTGATTTAATTTCATGAAAAAACAAATGATAATTATTAAGTATGAGAAAATCTGTAATATTCCATGAAAAGATTTTTGGATATCACGTCAATTCTCAATTTGCTTAACTTCGAATAATTGTTGGTTTGACTTGTAAATAGCATTTAACCACTTTTAACGAATTTTATTGATGATTACTTTTCATTAGGGATGGGTTGATACTAAAATTTTTGTATCTAGATACAACTGATACGGGTACTTTTTTGTATCTGATACTTTTATCTGATACTTTTGTATCTGATACAAATGGGTCAGTAGTTGGTCATGACCTTCCTACTACTTTGTATCTGATACTAGTATCAGATATTTTTATCTGATACTGGCATCAGATACTTTTATCTGATATTTGTATCAGATATTTTTATCTGATATTTGTATCGGATATTTTTATCTGATATTTGTATCAGATATTTTTATCTGATACCCGCATCGGATACTTTTATCTGATATTTTTATCTGATACCTGGACTAGATACCCAGCGGTATGCATACTGGCGCTTGGTATCTAGTCTAGTCTTGGGCTTATTAGTTAATATATAATAGTTCTAATGACTTTATAGTTATGTCAGATACTATGAAGATATTCACACAGTTTTTTAAACAAAATGTGATTCATATTAGACAAAAGAATGGAATATATTAAATAAAATATAACAAATTCATGCAGAGAAAAATTTTTCCTAATACAACGTTCTTAAGAATTTTGTAAAAATTCTTAATAGCTACGTTTAACATACTCACACACACATATATACTTTTTATTTTCACTGATCAATCTACATCTTGGGATTTAGATTATATAGGACTTGTATAATGTTTACAATACTATTATTGTATTCTTTGAACATATTAAATTACTTATGTAAATCATTTAAAGTAAATATTAATCCACTCTTTTATTATTTTTTTTTCATTAATACAATGGTATGACAACAAAAGTAATTTGTCGTTCATTTCAAATTTCAGTTAAAATTCCATAGTTTATTGTTTTTAGTAACTATCTTGCTGTATTGGGACCTTATTGCTCATATTATGTCTTTAATATATCAGTATAGTTATGTAAATCCTTCTGTTATTACTTATTTTTTAGTTTTTTTTTGTTTTTTTTTTATTGTAATATGCATTTTGGCAAGTTGTTATGTTAATCTTTATGTACAATATTGTTATTCTCAAGAGACTTTGTCCCAGAATAAAGGTGATTATTCTATTCTATTCTATTCTATTCTATATATATATTTATTTTTTCTGTTTGCATTACAGACCATGTAGATCTTTTGCCACCTTAACAAGTATGCTCAATCTCTGCCTGTCTTGGGCTATTTTTTGTCATTTATCTGCACGCAGCTCTGTTGTATCTTTGTTGATTCTATCTATCCATTTGCTTTTTGGCCTCCGACGTGGTCTTTTGCATACTATATATAATAAAAATAGCCCAAGACAGGTAGAGATTGAGCATACTTGTTAAGGTGGCAAAAGATCTACATGGTCTGTAATGCAAACAGAAAAAATAAATATATATATAGAATAGAATAGAATAGAATAGAATAATCACCTTTATTCTGGGACAAAGTCTCTTGAGAATAACAATATTGTACATAAAGATTAACATAACAACTTGCCAAAATGCATATTACAATAAAAAAACAAAACAAAAAAAAAACTAAAAAATAAGTAATAACAGAAGGATTTAAATAATTATACTGATATATTAAAGACATAATATGAGCAATAAGGTCCCAATACAGCAAGATAGTTACTAAAAACAATAAACTATGGAATTTTAACTGAAATTTGAAATGAACGACAAATTACTTTTGTTGTCATAACATTGTATTAATGAAAAAAATAATATTAAAAGAGTGGATAAATATTTACTTTAAATGACTTACATATGTAATTTAATATGTTCAAAGAATACAATAATAGTATTGTAAGCATTATACAAGTCTTATATAATCTAAATCCCAAGATGTAGATTGATCGGTGAAAATAAAAGAAATATATGTGTGTGTGAGTATGTTAAACTTAACTATCCTATAGTGAATATCTTCATAGTACCTGACATAACTATAAAGTCATTAGAACTATTATATTTAAAAATGGTGTAAAATATTTATTACAGGGACAAATTTAATAATAAAGGAATAAAATATATATAGGTACATATTTAATATATGTTTTATTAGGTATCAAATAGGTATTAAAATATCAAACCCGATCAATAATCAATTACAGTTGGATTAAAATATCTGATACAATTATTGAGATATCAAGCCCAAGTGCCAGTATGCATACCGCTGGGTATCTAGTCCAGGTATCAGATAAAAGTATTGATGCGAGTATCAGATAAAAATATCGGATACAAATATCAGATAATGGAAAGAAATAGCCCAAGAGAAGTAGACATTGAGAATACTTGTTAAGGTGGCAAAAGATCTACATGGTCTGTAATACAAACAGAAAAAAAAAAAATATATATATATATATATAAATATATATGTGTGTGTATGTTAAACTTAACTATAAAGAATTTTTTTAATTGTTACAAAATTCTTAAGAACGTTGTATTAGGAAAATATTTCCTCTGCATGAATTTGTTATATTATTATTTAATATATTCCATTCTTTTGTCAAATATGAAGCATATTTTGTTTAAAAAATTGTGTAAATATTTTCTTAGTACCTGACATAACTATACAGTCATTAGAACTATTATATATTAACTAATAAGCCCAAGCGCCAGTATGTATACCGCTAGGTATCTAGTCCAGATATCAGATAAAAGTATCCGATGCAGGTATCAGATAAAAATATCTGATACAAATATCAGATAAAAATATCCGATACAAATATCAGATAAAAGTATCTGATACTAGTATCAGATAAAAATATCCGATAGCAGTATCAGATAAAAATATCCGATAGCAGTATCAGATAAAAATATCTGAAATTAACATTACATAAAAAAAAAATAAGCGTGAATATATTTATCTACAAATAAATATTTAATTAAATTAAACTAAATGAATAGATAGTTCTAAAAAAATTGTGCACAACTAAAATTATAACTAAACATTTCTCTTATATCAATGTGGCATGTCTGGACAACCATTTTGTATCCATGTGAGCATCAGATACTTTTGTATCAGATACTTTTTGGTTGTATCTACTGGTTGTATCAGATACTTTTTTAGTATCAGATAAAAGTATCTGATACATACAATCCGACCCATCCCTACTTTTCATACCTAAATGATTCTCTTTGGAATAGACTCATTCTTGAATGGTACTTATATATTTATAACTCGTGAAGATTATTTGAATTTTCTTATCAATTCCACATAGTTTATTAACTTATTATCTATTAGGCAGACATTTTTGAGATGTCATTTTCAATGAAATTTCTAGTCAAGCCTTTGGTGATATCTTATGGAAACAGCATTACAGGTAAACTTTATCTTTCAGAGTGAAATTTGTAGAACATAAATACTTATATGCAATCATTGGAAATATATTATTGAATTAGTTCATAGACAAATCCATAGATGGGTAGCTCCTACTCTGAAGGCTTTAAACAACAGAAAACGGGAAATGGGCCCTCAACCAATTAATAGAAGAAGTGATTATCTGGAATGGTATTTTTGAAGATCCTAAAATGATAGACCACCTACCAAAAAAGTATTGTTTGTCAAACATTAATAAATCTGATTTATTACAGGAATTATAAAGCTGAAATCTATTCTTTTGGAAAACGGTTAGGGGAAGATTTTAAGGAAGACTTATTACGTGAAGCATTTACTGAAAAATCATTTATAAATCTAGAAGCCGAAAAATTAATGAAAGTTGGAGTTGATCCTCAACTTGATATGAAAGACAATGCTAATTTCTCTGTTGAAGGTGAAAAATTTATAAGTCAATGTGTTCTCAAGTATTTGGTGTCAGTTCTACCCTCTCTTCCATCTGAACATATCGAGTAAGATCATAGTATTTATTTTTTTTGCATTTAGTTCTCCTATAGTGCAGTATTAGTTTCTAAACTCAGTGCTAATCCCACCGATCGAGATTATCAGTCCATTGAATCCAGCTTTAATGGACAGCAAATTGTGGTGAGTTTAGGAATGATCTGCTGGATTCCAGTGGAAGGTTGGCACTTGGAATGTAACTAAATAAAAAAATATTTAAAGTGGTAAAAACCTATCGACTGAATTATTAAATTTAAAAACAGTAATAAATGTAGATAAAAGTAAAATGAATGAAATTAATTAAAGTAAATTGAGAGATAACAATACTGAGGTTAAAATGAGTTTTCATTCAGAGGGATTAATTGACCCTAATAGCCGATGTAACTGCTGGGCTATCTGTGATTTAAAAGAGATTCCATCATAGAATTTAGGAATAGTGTGATAATTTTTCGATGCCGTCAATGAGGTCAGCACTGAGTTTAAAAAACTTGTCCAGTCTTCCCTTGAAATTTAAATTTATTTTATTTTACTGAATGTTTTTTTATTTTAGATCGATACATAATTTCTTGCTAAGTGATGAAAAGCTGTCCACTGTTTCTAAAAATATTGGTATAGATGACCTTGTTTTGACTGCTGTAAGTTTCTTCAAATATCTCATTCATTTTCAAGTATGTTTTTTATTTTTTTATTAAGATTTACATTTCGGAATGAAGTTTTCTGCGATTCGAACAAAAGAGTTTCTTTTTCATTCTTTTGCCTAGTATGCTGCCAAAGATGGATAGATTAGAGAAAGGTTAACAAAATAATGTTATATTTAATCATGATTACTATAGCCATGATTATGAATACAATTAAGTAATGATCTTCTTTTTTTATTAACATTATGATAGCATGATTGATCCTTGTCCTACTTGGAGGAGATACGTACGTATCTGAACAAGGGAGAACGGAATTAGGAGCAAGATAATTAGGGACAGGATGGAGGGTCTCATGTCCGTAAACCAGAGGATTAGACAACTAAGGCTGGTGTGGTACCTATATGTAAAATGAATGTTTGCCAAGTGATGGTCTACAGAATTCTTGATTGGCAGCCATCGGAAAGACTGAGGTGAGGTGGATATATGAAATGGAAGGATGGATGGAGATGGGCTTGACCGTGACCTCTGGAATTCAGCCTTGACGGAACGCATATATAATACAATATAATATAATAATTGCAGCATTGATGTATTTTGTAGTTTATGGATATTAATTATTTTGGATTCAATAAAAAAAAAATAATAATAATAACTGCTTACAATTGCAGATTTTAACAGATTACTTTCATTGAATGCTGTGAACCTTTTCTATCTTACAGGAGCTGATATACTTTCAAGGAATTGTTATAATTTTTAATTTTACAGGAATATCCCCTAGAACAGAGTACATTAAGTCGATCGTTAAAGAGTGTTATCCATGCTCTAGTTTTAAGCAGTGGTGAAGAAAGAGCTTCAAAATTTGTTACGGACTTCATAATAACTCAGCTTTGTGGGGAAGACATCACTCCTTTGTGCACTCCAGAAAATCCAATTGAAAAACTGAAATCGACAGTAGGCGCAAATATAGAATCTAGGATAATTGTTGAAAGTGCGAAAAATACACTTCTGGCTAATTATCAAGTTGGCATATATCAGGAAAAAAATCTTTTAGGAAGAGGTATGTTTTCTTATTGTCTATTTAAAATTCATTATCATTTATAAATTTGAATCTTCATTAGTGTGTAATACAACTAACTATAAGTGAGTGTAAAATCTTAAATTTTATTACATTAAGCATTGCTAGAAATATAATTCCTCTTTATCATATCCTGATAATCTTTTTTTTAATTAACTCATAAATGAGTTTTATAGTGAACATCTTTCAAAAAAGGTACTTTTGTTTAAGTATATATGACTGCTTTTTTTATCTTGATAACATTTGGTATTGGGGTTGTGTTTCATATGTATTTTTTTTCTTTCGACATATTATTTTTTATTTCCATATCTTATTTATTATTATTACATTGCTGCTACTTGGAAGGTTTTAAATTTTTCCAAAACCAATCTCTATGTGATTTTATCACTAGATGTCATCTGGTCATTTTCTCTTTTTTTCATGACCAGTTGTAATTATTTTAATGTTGTTTTTCTAACCGTTCTGTAAATCTTCTGTCGACAGTACTCTTGTATTCTGGTGACTTGACCAACCCAACGACGTTCATTTATTTTTATCACTGTTGTGATGTCTCCATTGCTGAACAAAGTTTATATTTTATGCCTATATATTATTATTATAGCTGAGGATTCCTAAAAGAACTTTTTTCTTAAAAACTTGGGGTTCATATCTTCTTTCTTTGAGGTGGTAGTCCAGGTTTCTGAGCCATAAGTAAGAACTATGTGAATAAAATTTTGTATTTTTTCTATCCAAACAAAATTGGAATAGAGCTGCATGCAGATAACTGGAAAGAAATAGCCCAAGACAGAGGACATGCAGATAACTGGAAAGAAATAGCCCAAGACAGGCAGAGATAGACTAGGCTTGTTAAGGCAGCTAAAGATCTACACGATCTGTAATGTCAACATAAACAAAAAATAACTCAAATTTAAGGATAGCTATTAGTGTGCATTTAGTTTCTGTCCCTAACCTTTTATATTAACTGTGATTCATTTTAAGCAGGTGAATTTGGATACCTGTTTAAAGAATAGAATTTAATTCTTGATATACAAATTTTTGCCATGTATAATGAAACCTATCCTGATGAATATCTCTCTGAAGAAAAGTTTAAATTTCCCGGACTGGAAGTATATGAATTTAGATTGCATAATGTTTAAAAAATATCTCAAACGTATTGTTATCAACTATATATTAGGTTTACATATTTTTTTTTTGTCATATTTTTTTATTTATGATGATAATAAATGAATTGTTAGTTTTTGTGTGCCTATTGAAAAAAATTATATTCTTTTGTTTTTCTTTAAAGGATGTGGAGAAAGCCCATGGATTGCAGAAGAAATGGCTGCTCTTGATGCACTTTGGCGATTATGGGGTATAACTTCAAACAAAAAACCTTTTCCTATTAAATCTCAAAAAATTGTAAACAGTGTAAATATGTAATGATAAATATGAGTGTATATGTATTTATAAATGTATTGTACAAATAATGTAAATAATTTCAATAGATTTTTTTTTTAAATGATAAATTAATAAATTTTACAGAAAAGTTTCGATATTCTTTTTTTTTATTTCCTTATTTTAATAATATTATATATATTTCTGAACAAATTAGTTATTTTTACACTATTAAATTAGGTTTTAGTCTTACGCATGTCATTATTCTTAATGTTTTGTTTTTAAGACTTTTAATGCTGGCAGGAGAATGAAGCAAATCAAATTAATATACAATAGTTGAATTATGCTATATAAATATAATCTCTACAACCAATATAACAGAAGACACTACTTCAAATTCATGTAAATGGGCGAAATCCAAACTGGAGAGACTTATTTTTATGTAATGTTATATATTTTTTTTATTTATTTATTTATATGATATTTACAACTGTATACAAAAAATACATCTGGTAAATTCGCATATGGATATAACGACATGAAACACATGTTGAGAAACTACCCATTGGTAGCACTCTAATAATATGTCTATATTAGAAGATCACGTGGCCATCTTCTTTTCAGACGCCTCGGAGGGTTATCACGAATTGAATAGGAAGCAAGGTTAGAAACAAGAAGGTTGGGATGGTTAATGTTATATGATGAAAGAAAATGTATATTTAAATTAAACACAAGCTCTAACAGATTGAAATATTTTTTTATAGCTAAAATTTTGATGATCTAGTTCCAAGTTAAAATATCTCACCAACATAATGTCAGTCTGAATGAGAGGTTATAATGTTTCATAAATCTGTGTAATATTAAATATAATTTATTACCATCAAATTCAATTTATTTGTAATTTAATGAATCACTGTTAGGAATTTATTTATATATGTCTTTTCGACTATAAATAGTATTCACTAGGTTGTTATTAAACACTATGTTAATAAAGTTTAAGGAGTGTCTACATTTTTATCTATTTCTAAGATTTTGTTGATCAGTTTCAAACTAATCATGGGTTTCTATGATTATTTGTTAAATCGTAAGCATTCCATAGACCTCTGATTAGTTTTGTTGTACTAATGACATTTATTAGAAAATCAAATTATAACTGATGCTAATGTCCATGTATCAAGCTTAGGATCATAAAAAAACTGATTCAAGCCTTGCGAAGTTGACTGTATTACTAGTGTGATGGGACTATCATTCTTAACTATACCTAATTTTCACACTAAATTTTGATTTTGTAGTCTGGACCATTACACTCTTTGTAGAGTTTTCTATCTACTTTATATTAGATATTTTCATCGAGTATAGTATATTAAAACAAATTTCTAGACCAAAACCCTAACAAACCTTCAGGCGATTCAACTTACACCTCCCTCATTGACTTATAATCAGAGACAAGATTTTTGTAGTTTTCAAATTATAAATCTATATGTGTAACAGATGTCAAGCCCTAATAAATAGAATATCTTATAATATTTGTTGTTTTGTATTAATTTGATTGTACTGTTACATCTGAGTTTTTCAAATGATTTTTGAAAACTTAAGTCATTAGTAATGAAATTGACAAAATTAAGCATAATGTATTTTTCGTAATACAAAAAATGAACAACAATGGAAACTTGTAAATAAATTAGTGATTGAGTGCACTTTCAAGAAAAACAAACACAAACTTATATTTTTCAAATTTTACAAAGCAGAGTTTTTTAAGAACACAATTCTTTCTAACTAACAATAATAATTAACATCTGTTTTTTAAATATCTTTTAGAATAGCTATTTTGCCTGGAATTAAAAATAATACATTTCACATTGTATTTAAATATAAAAAAATCAAACATTCATGGTTAACGAATTCCCGAACAATGTACTTAAAAAATAATCTTTAAGATTAACTAAAGATATTAACATTTTAAATAATTATGTAAAACTGAACAAATTTTGCCCACACAACTCATTCTTTATGGATTAATTCTCTTTTGTATTAACTCATGTTACAGAATTAATTGCCTTCGTTCACCACTCTTATTGGTGGTATTCATGTTGAAGTGTGTCATTTTTGTCATCTAATTTCTCACCAACTTGATTAAGCAGAATTGACTGTTTTTTTCTATATATTTTTATATAGATACCTTAATTTCTATAAATGGATACCATCCTAAATAATTTTGTAATTGGTTGGCATAAATATCTTAAAAATAAGCTAATAACAGCTGGTTATTTATAAGAATAACAACGCCATAAGCAAATAACCCTTTAAATAACTGTCCATTCAACTTAAGCTGATAACATGTGTTATCTGAGAATAATGACACAGCTGCTGCATCTCAAATTCTCCAGACACATATCACAGCCTTGGAGAATGGAATGACAACTGAAAAATTTAAATAAATGGTAACATTACCTGAAGCTGTGTTTACAGTTATTACCTGAAACAACCCTCTTGGTCTACAATGTCATTTAATATTTCACTAATCCCTGTCGAATAGATCGACTACCTATGATTTAATCTTGAAAAGCATCTAACGCGGAAACTTTACATTAGACAAACGTCAAGAAACTGCTCATAGATTTCGATGACTACAATACTTATTGACATATGCTCCCAACTTCCAACAAAAAAACTGATTTAAATTACAATCACCTATTTGGACATCCAGAAATGAGCTTTAGGGCTCCACAAAACCATCCAACTCCTCCTTCATCTAATGCCTACAATCTAAAATCTTTTAATGCTCTGAAGATTTTGAAACATGCATCCAACAAAATTATCCATAGAGACCTCAATATTTCATTTCTTACAAATTTGGCGTGAAACAGATATACTTCCTACAATCAAAAACTCCTCACCCATAATAATCCACTAGATTGTAACCTGTCAGCCCAATTCATTCTCGCTAAAACCCTGAGGCATCTCAAAAGAAGATGACCACTTCCAACTAAGAGTAGTGAATCAAGTATTACCAATTAGTAGTTCCTTCACAAGTTATATCATGTTGTTATTGTTTACTCTTATTTCACATTTGCTTGTTTGATGAATACAGCGGTAAATTTAAAAAAATTAAATAAAACAAGGAGGTATACATTTTTTAAATAAATAACTGCTTTTGGGAATAATAATATGAGTAAAAAGATTTCATGTTAATATTATATTTAACAGTCTTTAATTGATACAGATGAGATAATGTTAAATTATTTTAATATATAAATTTAACTTTTCTATTTGGTTAGCATCATATGATTCCTCTAAATAACTTAAATGGAATTAAATGTGAATATTAATTTTTAAGCCTTTTTATTTATAACAAATGATTAATATAATCAGGAATATATAGAGTAAAATATGTAGATGTACTTATAATTAAAATTTCACAGCTATACCAACAGACAGGTTTGTCATATCCAACAATTTTAACCAATAGATGAGGAAAAGAACATAAAAATTCACTCTGAACATCAAGTTTTGTTAAAAATTGAAACTTACAATATTTTACAGAAATTAAATATAAAATGTAAACAGTTGTTTGGTAAAATAAAATAACTCTAAACCTAACCTTTGATGAAGTGGAAATATTTTCTCTTCATCTTTTAGTGAATGGTCTATGACAACAAATGTTATTTTCAGTCGAAGAGTAGATCTTTAAATATACATAGAATTTGGAGAAAGAAACTTTGACAGGCAAAACAGATGGATGATAAAAAGGATAAGGAAAGACTTGTAAGTAAATTGTTCACAGTTGAAGATTATTAAGCCTTCCGTAATATAAAGTGCTTTCTTCCTATATATGAAAATTGTAGCGACTTAATGCTTGGAAATTAATAATTTTAGAATCACCTTTAACTATTCCATAGGTGATGAAATTATTTCAGTTGTAGAGGATTGAGATAGATTTTTCTTTTCCATAGCCGCTTTCATTCTCTCCATTCTTCTTTCTTCAGCTAATAGCCTATTTCTCATCATTCGGGCCTTTTGCTCTTCTGTGAGAGTTGGTTCTTTAGGTTTGTCATTTAGCAAATTATCAAAAGGATCATGTACAACTGGCACAGGATCATCAGGAAATGTCTCTGAGACAGTATCATCCATGCCCAATCGAATTCTACTTACATGAACCAAAACACCTCTTTTTGACCCAATATCTTCTATTCTGTCTATACAATCATCAAATGACATTTTCGGAAATAGTCTATGTGCCCAATGTTCGAGTGTTTTCATAACTTTATCAAGATCATCTTTCTCATGACCTTTACCTTTCAGTTTAACATTTTTAAAAACATCTTCTAATATTCCAATACCGCGAGGTCCTGTCAATCGGGCAGCATCAAGTTTGGGTTGAGGTCTAGCAACAACTTTCTTAGGTTTTACTATCCTTTTAGTCTCTTGATCAGATGATTCCTTCTCAAAGTTACCTTCACTTGCTTCTGCGTTAGGCTCATTAAATATATCTTCATTCGGCTCCTGAATAGTCTCTATTAGATCATCCTCAGTGCCAAACATTTCATTAAAATCATCCATGATACAAATAGTTGACACTAGTCTTTAATCGAAACCGAACAATAAAATACAAACAGAGGATTTTTTCCCGCCATCTATGGCAGTGCAGTGAAGTCACTGGCAATAATGAACGAGTGTTGAAAGAACTATAGTACTTGAACTGTTAAAACTGCAGTTTTGGGTAATTCGTGTTAGTTCTGTTATTTCAATTGACTTATTGGATGATTTTTATATACAGATGAAGATTTTCATAAATAAAAATTATTCACTCAATGTTACAATTGATTACATATTGTTGATATCATATGATTTTTTATGTTATAGAGTTTATGTTTTATGGTTCATGTCGAATTTATGATTACAGCTTAGGACATCAAGTTTTGGTATTTTTGGGGGATTTCACGCACCCATTCTGATGCTGGCTATGGTGCTTACTACGAATATAATACCGTTTAAAATTAAAATCTTATATCATATTTTTTGTAAATTACCTGATTTCTTTGATGTAAGAGACCATTATTAAAAATTAGATGAAGGTTTTTTTTTTTTAATACTATCAGTTCCTCTTTCTTTTTTTTCTTTTTTTTTTAGACCATGTTTATTGAGAGATATTACAATCTGTCACAATTAAGGACATTATTGTTCAAAGAGCAAATTCACACTCCATTCACAATAAATACAAATTAATAATACATAAAAATAGTAATTCTAAAAATAAATGTATATAAACTAGACTAAACTAAACAAAAAGAAACTAAGCTAATGAAAATAAATACCCAAATATCCACATGCTTCTAAACAATATCTAAAAAAGAATCATTCACTCAAGATCTCCGAGCTTCCCACTCATAGAAGGAAAGGCAGGACTCTAGGAGATCCCAGCGCCCCTCACTCAGCCGCATTACTGGTATTAAAGACAAGTAGATTATGAGAAGAGGCGCTATAACCACACTTACATGGCTTGAGTAGAGAATCTGGCCATTGCCAAAACTCCAAAATATACTTATTCATAAAAGGTCTCTGGACCACGGCCGTTTCAACCTTCGACGAGGATGGTAGGGATGGATAGTACTAAATAGGGATTGTACAAGAGGATTTGGATGATGGGTAAGATTCTAGTGAAATTTAGAGAATTTTTCTGGAATAAGGACTAGGACAAATGAGATATTAAGGCAATGGTGAGGGGTTTTATTAGTTACATAGAATAGAGATTAAAGTTCCAAGGATTTTAGATTGAAAAGATTGGATACGTTTGATGTTAGAAAGTTTTGCTGTCCCATACAGTTCAAGTCCATATGTCCATATAGGTTTCAGGATTGTCTTGTAGATAAGTAATTTGTTTTTTATAGAAAATTTAGAATTCTGTTTAGTAGTCTGTATAGTTGGCCGTGTCGTCGGTTGAGTTCTTGTCTAGTATGTGGGTTCTTTGTTAATCTTCGGTCTACGAGAAAGCCAAGATACCGAATTGTGCCCGAGAAAGGAACAGCCTTTGTAGATTTAAGGATGATATTTCGGGATCTGAGTTGGATGATAGGATTGCGGTGTCATCAGCAAATGTTAAAAGGAAGGAATCGGAATCAGCGGGGATGTCAGCAGTAAAGAGGGTGTAAGGCACGGAACCCAAGACGCTACCCTGGAGAACACCGGCTTTGATAGGATAAATGCCAGAAGAAGCTGTTCCACAGCGTACTCAAAAGGAGCTGTCGGAGAGGTAGGATCGAAGGATTAGGTATACGGACTGAGGGAGATGGATTTTAAGATTGATTGGCCCGGGGCACAGCCTGTTTACTCGGTCAAAAGCCTGTGCTATGTTCTGAAATGCACCCAAACAGTATCGCTTGTTCTTCAGGGCTGCTGAAATATGATCAAGGACTCGGAGTCCTTGTTGAACAATGGAGTGTTGTGAGCGAAAACCAAACTGATGGAAGATTTTGGGATTCTATGAAGGGTAGGGTTGGTTTCAAAAGGATCTTTTCAACGATTTTTCAAAGGATTGGGAGTAGAATAATTGGTATATAGGATGTCAAGCTGTTGGGAGGTTTGTCTGGTTTTGGGAAAAGGATAATAGTGGAGTTTTTTCATAATAGATGAAAGTGGTTAGTACGTAGGACGCAATTTTAGATATATGTAAACTTCTGCGAACTTCTGGGCTTTATCTTCATCACATGCAAGGGAATTTTCACGAGTATAGAAGGAAGATAGGTAGGAGTTAAAGGATTGTGATATGAAGGTGGCTAATTCCAGTTAATTATTTACAATTATAATTATAGGAGCTGCGGTCGTTGGGATGTCTAGTACATTGCCATCAGTTTTTAGATTAAGTAATTGCTTATCGATGTGTTTTTAATTTATCAGATTTTTTTGCTATAAGGGTCTATTATTAACTGTTTAGATGTACTGTTCATGAAAACATTCTCCCGAAAGCATAATAATGGATACTTAGATTTAAGAGAAATAACAAATTACTAAAACATGATGGGAGATTGCGTAATCTTAAATCCGGCACGAATTTCATAAAAAGTGCCCTCGACAATCTGAGTGGACACATGAAAGTGGACCCTTATTTCCAAGGAAATTACAATAATAGGAAGCGCGATTGCGAAATGTTAAATCACCTAGTATTTTTAATAACTAGGCCTACGAAAACCTAATAGTAGATGTTTTTACCAATAAAGTCGTAAAATTTAAATAAAAAAAAAAAAAACTGTACCACTAAAATCCAAAAAGGGTCTGTGGTTCAGTACTATTTAGGAAAAGCACTGTTTCTAGGTCAACAGTTGTGCAAGGAGGTGATTTGACCGAGATCACGCTCAACCGCCAGGTTTTCCCCCTTAATCAATTATTTAATTAAGGGTACCCAGTTAATAGAGGCTAGGTGTGCCCCCACGGCCAATGAAACAGATAAATAAATTTTCTGCCATGAGCCGGGGTTCGAATCTGGGACCTTTGCATTGGAAGCTCAGTGCCCTACCACTGAGTTACCCCACTCCCTAAAGTTTAAATAAATCGATAGTATTTTTTCAAAGTACGCCTCCGAAATCCTAATAATAGACCTGTATACCAAATAAATCCGAAATATTTATATTAATCGATTTACATCAAAATAAAAATATTTTTCAAAGCTACGCTCCTGAAAAACTATTAGTAGACCTGACTACTGAATAAATGCGGAATTTTTAAAAAGAATCGCTAGTTAATCGATTTACATTAATATTGATAGATTTAAAAAAAACTAAGCCCTCGATAACAAAAGAATAAATATTGTCTTAATAAATATTGTGGAAAGAAGTACTCGATTACTTTGAAAAGTACTCAAAATAAAATAATGTTGAGGAAAAGCGAACATGGAAATTATTCATGAGGACAGTTGAGTACTTTTTGTATCATCAAGTTGGGTAGACATTAAAATACTCGATTCTCAAATCAAGTGAGTATTGGTGTAAAATATTGTGTAATTTCTAATTTTTTCTTAGAGTTCTTTTTATCCTTGTCTAATATAGGGGGTTCCAGTGGTCGAGCAAGTTAAGGCGCCTGCAAAAATACACTAAACCTGTAGAGCTTTTTTTATTCCAATTTTTATCGAAATTGAAAAGTCAAAAATTCAAATCCCGTTTTGTTGATTCTATTAAAAAAGAAATAATAATAATAATTAATATCACTTATTACCTCTTGATGTGTTAAGAGAGGCTCAGCAAGCAGTTCTCTTGGATGCAGTCAGGATTACTAGAAAGGTCTTAAATATCTAAAAAAATTATAACTATAGGTGGTTGGACTTGTCCCCCTCCTTCAGCATTGAATCCAAAAAAGCGAGAACAATAAAGATAATAATATTAATAATGAATAAATTAAAAATAAAATAAGTGCAGACGCTACTCGAGTACTTGGACCATTATAGCGCTAACTTCCTCACGCTGAGATTCACAGGAAAGTGAACGACACCTATGATTTACACCATTGTTTCTGGTCCTCTAGGTTAGGGATTGGGCATAAAGCTAATAACGCAATCACATTAAAAAGACCCTACTACGAAACCAAAAAAGAACCTAGGAAAATCGGACTTTTTAAATGTGGTAATGACCTCGCCTTTGAATCATTGAACATAGGTAGTTTACACAGACCAGAAGCCACAAAAACGGGAGCTAGAGAACTGAAAAGATTTAACATGCCGTTAAAAGACATCCAAGAGGTAAGATGGCCTGAAGGTGGTGAAATTATTATCGTCAGCTTTCTGCTCCGGGGAGAGGGGAGGGTAGGAGAACGATAAAAATGTACTATCCGGAACGGTATTTATAGTTAGTCCAGCGGCAAGGTAATCAATCATAAACTGTAATAAACGAAAGGATTAATGTATTACGAGTCTTTAGAGGCGAAGGATGATTTCTATTATCAGTTAGAAAATATTGTGAACTAATCTAATACCAGGACATAAAATTAGCCTGAGGTGATTTTAATGCCATGATAGAACGAGAACGCCCATTTCGGCCCGTGAAGAGGTTCAAATGACCCCCGCATCTTACGGGGAGATGAATCAGGTAAGATGTTAACGTCGATTTTGTGCAAATGGACTGCCAATTAGTTGAATAGAAAAATAGCAACACTTTTGACTCTTGTATGCCATTATAACCCTTTTTAACGAAGGTTTAATTTTTTTCTTGACCTTAGTGATGAGAAATGTTCTCATCATCAATAAAGTATAGAGATCTGAATTACATGTTCATGTGTTCAAGAATGAATTTGGTATGCAAAGAAAACATTTCCCAATAAACATAAGGTCCCTTTTATTCCCATTAAACATAAGGTCGTGGCACCGACGCAGTAGAAATTCATTTTTTGTGGTTCCCTCATCCAGAAATTCAGTATATGTTATCAAAATGATGATATCTGGGTAGTATTCAATGCTCATGGAATTATACATCCATTAAAACTGTTTTTTCTACAAAATTTCAGATAAGCAAAATAACTGATAATCTTTTCATGTTTCTCTAAATTAAAATGTTTTTGTCATCCTTTTCTCTATCTTAACATGTTTATAAACATTTCATAGATAAATCATAATTGTTTATTTATGTATAACGAATCTAAAAGCTTAGCTATTATCATTACTGTTATTGTATCTAGAACTTTATCGGTAGAAAAAGTCATAATCCATAAAATAATAATTACTTCTTTTTTCTTGTATCTTGACGTGGTTATTACAGAGTATTTATGAAACATGGTGGAAGCATTTAATAGCTGGCTCAATGGGTGGTATAGTTTCAAGATCTTGTACGGCACCGTTGGATCGACTGAAGGTTTTTGCTCAGGTACATTTTTAAGATTATAAAATACAATATTTTTTGTAAGCACTTTGTATGTTATATCATAACGACTGAGATGTGTATGATGGTATATAGATGATATATTTCCACCATAAACATGCCTGGTGATATCATTGATTAAGTAAGACCCAATGTTGATAAGATTATTTGGACCAAGAAGGTGGCTTCTAATAATAAAAACTTCAAACAAATTTTGGTTATGTTATTTATAAGGTCACCTTAATTGAACTTATCATTTGCAGTCCATTTATTGTGTGCTGCATTGACTGACTCAGTCGCTAAGACCTCACTCTTTCATTTTAGAAGCACAGAGTTGGTTTTATATTGTGCTTGGTGTTGAAATAGTGATGGTGTCTGTGATTGTATTCTTAAATTCCAAATAAGTGTAATTGTTACATATATATAATATGGTAATTATTATGTTAATTTCAGGTTACTGGTGAATTTTATCATCCCGTTTGGGGCTTGGTGAAGATTGTAAAGAAAGATGGATTTTTTTCTCTGTGGAGAGGTAAGTTCAACGGTTTTTACGAAATTAACTTAATGGTTAAAACCATTATTAGTGGCGGCCTTATTGCATGAGGATAATATCCATACCCACGCCCGGAGGCACCGAATCGTAAGAGCGTTCATCACTAAATAAAAAAAATACAAAGCATACAATATAAGTTAATTATAATTTATTAATAAAGAAACTGAAGCATAAACATATCGGATATCCATTCCCGCCGTCCTTGATACTTCTCAAGGTACATACAAGCTCCTTCAATTCAAATTCTCTATCCACTCCTGCAAAATCCGTTCCCAGTCTTCAGATTTATATGCAAGGGCTCACCGAATCGCTGATTTCGACAGATCTTTCGTTATTCGATGCTTATACCAATGGAACTCTATCCCTCCCTACATCCATCGCTCCAATACCCTCCCGACCTTTAGATCCCATCTGTTCAATAACTTCTTGTTGCAAATATGTCTATAAATTATTAGTTCATTTTACTTGGGTTGTCCAGAAAATAATGCAGGATTTTGAGTTTTCTTTAAAATATCTCTCTATATAAAAAATAGTTTACGTTTACTAGGTTATTCATTTGTATGAATGTCAATAACTTATGCTGCTTGACAATAATTCAGTCTTTATTAAGATGTTAACTCATGATTTTCCTATAATTTTGTTTTACGAGTTTGAACTCGGACGGGATGGAGCTCAGACGGCCAGAAACATCAATAAAGTCTGAGGCGAGAGCAGCATTAATGAGTGTGCTGTTCAACGGTGGTTCAAAAAAAATCGAGAGCGAGACTTCAGCCTTGAAGACAAAGAAGGTCGTAGAAGGACTTTCTCTCTTGATGAATTGTTCTGCGGGCTATGGTGGAAGAAACCCCAGAAGAACTGTTCGAGAACTTGCAGGAAAACTTAACCTTAGCAAATCGACCGCCGATGACCATCCCAAGAGATTGGAAAGGTAAACAAGCTTGAAAATTGGATTTCATATTAATTAAAGGGCAAAAAAAAAACAAAAAAAAAAACAGCGTTATGAAGTTTATACTGTACTTCTTTGCGAAATAAAAAACCACCCTTTTCTGTTCCGCATTGTTACTTGTGATGAAGAGTGGATACTTTATACTATAACTGTATTCGTTCTGGACATTGGCTCGACAAAGGAGAAGCAGCAGAACATTTTCCAAAGCCCCCTACTCATAAAAAAAAAGGTGATGGTTACTGCTTGATACACTACTGTTTCTTAAATCCTGGAGAAACCATCAATGCCGAATCGTATTGTAACCAAATTAATGCAATGCATCAGAAATTGGCAATAAATAAGCTAACTTTGGTCAATCGGAAGGGCCCCATTTTGTTGTAGTTTGGATATGAAACTCTGCCACATCCACCCTACTCTTCGGACCTCGCTCCTACGGATTATAATTTTTTTAGATACCTGGACCAGTACTTACGTGAAAAAAACTTCAATGCACAAAGCCAATTAGAAAATGCATTTTTGGAGTTTATCGATTCCAAAAATATTCCTAGGAAATATCAAAGTTGCCAGAAATGTATTGATAGTTGTGGAGACTATTTTGATTAAATAAAACAGTTGTAAATCTCTTTTTTCTATTTAAACTAAAATCCTGCATTATCTTTCGGACAACTCAATATTATTATTTCGCTTTTATTTAATTGTTCCCTTAATTTACTAAAGTTAGGAGGTTATTTATACTTTTTTATATTACGCTTATTCGTTAATTTTGTGATTATTCGTACATATCTCTAAGGCTCCAACGTACACTTTTTGGTTTTGTTATTAAAAAGTATTATTATTATTATTATATATGGCAAAACCCTTCCAGTAGACGGTACCCCACCCAGTTTTCGTCACCTGATGCAGTTGTTAAAGCATATGAAGCGTTACGAATGGTCTACAGCTTGCCAAAGGTGCTCATTTGAAGCAGGAATAACCTGCAGCTCACATATTCTATTATCTTCCACTATTTATTTAGTTTTATAGATCGAAAAAATCGTTAAAGATTAGAAATTTTGCGTAAGGGTACCTGGTATAATTTTATGCCGATACGGTGTGATTATAGTGAAAAACATTTCCCTTTCTCAGAGACAATATATCTAAGAACGCAAACCAGCCAAAGCTAAATGTAGTGGAAGCAGTTACAATCATTTTAATTATAAAAATGTCCTGGGGAATCTCGAAAATCTGTCATTGTCTCCAGCATCTACATAAAAAAAAAAGTTTAGAAAATTTATGTCTTACGCAATGAAATCTTAGGCGCCGGCACTTAAACATTATTGGGGAGGAGGGCTAAGGTTTGTATTGACATATAACAGTGATCAATCCATGGGAGAGGGAAGAGAGGATAGAACGCCATATGTTAAGGAGTAGATCAGTAATCAGTTTATTACCTGTAATATAATATAACTATTTCCCCTACGATTTAATGAACATTTTGTGGGTTATTTTAAGTAAACGAGCGCGAAATATTCGGGGAGAAGAGGAGGAGCTGGCCGTTCTTGAGAACATGTCGAGGGGGCAGAAAGTGCCTTGCCTCCCCAGCACTAGATCCAGAATTTAATTTTGAGGAGGGCTTCAGCCCGAAAGTATTTTTTTCATATATATATTTATATACATATGTGTGGGGCTGGGGTAGCCGTACAGGCTAAGGCGCTTGCAATAGTTAATCAAAGTTAAGCGACGTCGCGTGTGGTTAGTACTTGGATGGGTGACCGTCCACCAGGGAAAGCCATGCTGCCCGAGTCTCTCCCCCCCCGCGGATATGTGAGGCCAGGCAGTCTACTGGAGGCTACTCACACCGACTGGGCGTAGGACTGATGACCCTACCTCGTGTATTTAATCGGGAATCGGGATGTAGTCTACCAGGATGTTAGTAGCCCTCCTGAGGTTCGGTCCATTAACGGCCTGTTTCGGGGAAAGAAATATAGGTCTTCGTGCGCCTTTTAACTGCGAGCAGTCATAATCCATGGATCTAGACCGATTTGTCGTTGTCCTTGTACCCGAGTGAGTCGGTGGGAATGACACTCCAGACTGGCCCCAAAGGGGCCGGCCATGGGGCTACAGGTGGCCTGTCGCTGCACCATGGAGACCATGGTTCGTAGCAACGTCAGGTTGGGTGTCCAGGCTGAGAACACATCTCGCGACTAAAGATCTTCAAGATCTGTAATGCCAACCGAAAAAAAAGAAGAAAAAAAAATATATAACGATGGATACTAACTGCCTACATGAAATGGTTTTAAGTGATTATTGAAGTCCTATTGAGTATAATTATACTTACAATAATACTCTAAGAGATAATTTTTTTAAATTGTTCACCATAAAAAATGATCACATTTTACCATATTTTGGGGTCAAGCTTAAGCTCGAAAGCCCACCACCCCCTTCCGTAGATAGGCCTGTGCTCCCAAGTGCCGGCGCCTATGAATAAAATGCATTATTATGTTATTAACAATTCTTAAAATTAGGATTTTTAAATTTTTAGGATTTGATTTTCTTGAATGAAGTAAAATCTTACATGGTACAGGTAATGGAATAAATATGATGAAGATTACACCTGAAACAGCAAGTAAATTTCTAATTTATGAATACGCAAAATTGTTGATGGGAGCTGAACATGAATCGCTTACTATCTGGGAAAGATTTATTTGTGCTGCATGTGCCGGGATATTTAGTCAAACATTGATTTATCCTATAGAAGTGAGTCTAATTAAATTTTATATTATAAATTTTATTATGGTCACTTATTAGCTAGAAATTAAATTAAAATATTTAATATAAATTTTGTTTTTATTCAAGATAAATCGAAAAGTTTCTATTTATGCCTAAAAAAAAAATCTATATTTTATTTAAATGAACTCCATAACAAGTCGATTTATATTAATAAATAAATCTCCCAACTAGTGATGGGTAAAACTGTTTATCATGAATAAAGGTTACAAAAGTTTCTGCTGCTTTTAAAAGTCAGTTTAAAAAACCAAAACAAATACAAATGTTTCAAAACCTGACGAGAACAAAAAAAAAAAGACCTTATTTTCTACGCTTCACAAATTTACTGAACAGCCAAAACGACCAACATACGAAAACTACAAACTTTTCAATCAAAAAAATTCAGAACTGTAACTAAAATTCCATGATATATCAAAAACATTACTTTACATAAATACCTTCAAATGCCAACAGTTAATGAACATGGTAAATGTCTAATTATTTCAAGATAACTTACACAGGGACATACTAAAACACTCATAAAATATATGGCTACAGTTAATATATCCGAAAACAAGGAGGCTTAAAAGAAGCTGGATGAGGGATCTTCTCGCTTAAGAAAAAAAAAACTAAAATCAAGATAGGTAAGAATGCCGCTGGGCACTCCTTTACCTCTTTACCTCACGCTGTTCAACGCCACTACAAGTAATATCGCTGATTTTCATTACTTGTGACAAGTGTGGGTAAAGATATCAAGATGGAAACAAAAATAAAATATTATACCTTCATAATATCAAGTGTAGAGCAAAAAAAATTATTTAAAATTTGCTGATAAAAGTCAAACTAGTATTAAAATGTTGATGTCTGATCATGTCATAAATCATATAAATAAAATTATTGCTGAGAATAATGAATAAATATTAATTATGAGCTTTTAAAATCATAGGCCCGTGCCACTTTGATCGATAGGAGGGAGATACACAAAAAAAATATATAAATAAAAAATGGTGAGAGTTTATATTATGTGTAGAAATTCGACATAATTATTATCAAACGAACAAATGCACTGACAGGCGAAAAATTCCACCCACTTGATTTTTTCATGTTTTCATCTAAAAATATTTCTGCTTTCAATTGGTCTATTGTTTTTAATGAATAAATAGGTAATCTTTTTGTTTGTTTTCAATTAGGAATGTTAATATAGAGGACACTAACCCTTAATCCTTAATTCAATGAAATGATTATAGATTCCAATGTATACTTTCTATGGAATCAAAATATTTATTCAGTATCATTAGTTCAGTGCCGTTTCTTGCAGCACATTTCTTAGTCTCCGGCTTTTAATTTTTTCAATACTAAGTTTAAAAATGCCTCTTAGTGCTGAGGATGTTGCGCGTGGTGTGGTACTTTTTGATGATGGACGTCCCATTAGATATGCTGCTAATGCCATCGGAGTTCCATATGAAACTTTACGAGACGCCGTCAGGCGTTTTCGGAAAACTGGTTGTTACAATAGAAGGCCGGTTCTGGACGGCCTAGGTTAACAGAACCACGGGATGACCGGTTTTTTACTTTGAGAATTTTACGAAACCGGCACCTTACCGTTGTTCAAGCGATTCATCAGCTCGAAGAAGTTCGAGGTGTGCAAATTTCTGAACTGAGAAATTCTGAATTTCTTCCGCTCAGAGAAGATTAAATGAGTATTTATTAATGGCTTTTCGTCCAGTAATAGGACCAGAGTTGACCAGAACTCACACAGTAACACGGCTGGCTTTTGCTCGAGAACACACCCATTGGACTATGGACGAATGGAGTGCTGTACTTTTTACAGATGAGTCAAGATTCGCTCTTCGATCTCCAGACGGTCTTGCAAGGATGTGGAGAAGAAGAAACGAAAGATATGCAGCCTGTAATTTTTCCCAGAGTCAACCTTTCCAACGTGGTTCCTTAATGGTGTGGGCTGGGATTTCAATGGAGCGCCGCACAGAATTGGTTGTTGTTCGTGGAGGGTCTTTGACGGCCATTCGCCATGTAGATGAGATTTTGGAACCTCATGTGTTGCCTATCCTCAACGAAATCGGCGATCGTTCTATTCTAATGCACGATAATGCACGCCCACATGTCGCCCGCATAGTGCAGACGTTCCTTCAACAGAACAATATTGAGGTTTTAGCCTGGCCAGCACGTTCTCCAGATTTGAACCCCATTGAGCATTTATAGGATAACCTCGGAAGACCAATAAGAGCGCGTGCAACACTTCCTGATACACTGCAGGACCTTGAAAGGGCTCTTTGGAAGAAATGGGTTATCCTCCAGCAAAGGGGGGACATTTCCCGACTGGTGGAAAGTATGCACAGGCGTCGTCAAGAAGTAGTGAAGCCAAGAGGAGGAAACACGCGCTACTAAACGATGATGTAATTCATTTCTTTTAGAATAATAATGGTTCGTTTTTCAATTTTTTTTTCTCTAATCTTTCTTACCCAATCACATTTTGATTATTAAAGGTAAAAAAGATTATAAAATTTCATAAATACTAAGTATTATCTACAAATAGCATGTATTATATACAAATACAACTTTACAGAAATATTTTTAGATGAAAACATGGAAAACTCAAGTGGGTGGAATTTTTTGCCTGTCAGTGTATAATACTGAATATTTAAAAATAAATATTACTATTGGATTTTTTATTTTATTTGTTGCATATAGACACTTAAAATATCTGAAATAATCAATTGGATATATTGCATATTTGTACATTTCTATAACATTTAGAACTAAAGAAAAATAATATTTTTGATTTATTAATTTGTACAATCTCAAATTAAAAATACTTTTCCGCAGTGTGGCTATTCACGTGAAAATGTGTAAAATATAGTGGCTATATACTCGTAAAATATATTTATACTTACTAAATTTTGTAAAAAATGTTTTGATTGTGAGGATCATAAAATTATAGAATGTATTGCTGTATTGTCACCCTTGAATATAAATAAAAATTTAGGTTTAGTTAGGTCGCTATAGTTATAGTTACGTACTTGTAGAACTTAACCTAGCAAGTCGACTTTTCTTTTTTTAACAACAGACTTTAGTTTACTTGTTTTATTCATTTTTCATTCATGTAGCATATTTGTTATAAATTATTGGTGGAGGGTGTACTGTAAGACATCGTGGGTAAGTTCTTAAACTCAGAGCTGAGTTCATCGAAGGCTTCGTTTTGCTCAGTTGAGAGATCTATCCGATGCAATCGATTAGTTCAGCGCTGATTTAAGAACTTACGCTTTCCATTTACTTGTATCTGTTTAATCCCGAGTGAAACAGTTTACTGTTTTTGTTTAATGAAAGAAATTGTTTAATGTTTAATATTGCTATTAAACACCACACCAATAGTCCAAACTTTTTCAGTTCTAGGTCCAAATACCTCGGTCCTGATTCTATTTAAATAAATTTATACTTTTTTCGAATATTATTTGCTTGAATAATAATCAATAAATTATGTGTAACAGGTTCTGAAGACCCGCATGGTAATAAGAGAAGGAAGAAATAGCGTACATTCGCTGAAAAACGTTTATAAAACATTGATAAGAAACAAAGGACACATTGGCTTGTTCCAAGGATACTTTTCAACGATAGTGGGCATTATACTCTTCACTGGAACTGATTTATGCACATATGAGGTAGATCATTTTGTATTTTTTACTTTTAAGTATCGCCAGTTACTTTTAGTAAAATAACAGTTGTAATTTTTTTTATTATTGAAATGGAAACCTCTTAAGGATCGTTTCGCACTTTTTTGTGGAGAGTGATTCGTTAGATTTCCGAGTAGAATCGGGTAAAGTCTACTTTATCGTTCGGATAAAGTCGAATAATTGAAATGTTTTTACATATGGATTAAAATATTTCAGAAACTAAACATCGGGCCAGCATGCTGTAAGGAAATTGTTCAGCATTTCATCGTCTCCGTAATAGACTATAATTCAAAATGGTATCTCAACGCGACGCCATGTCAGAGAGGAGAAAAGGAAAAAAATTGTGTCGAAAACCAAATAAGAACGAATTTAAATGAAGATATAGATTAAAATATCTCAGAAACTAAAGTTTGGACCTGCATACTGTCAGCCAGTTTCAGAAAATGTTCAGCATTTCATCCTCTTTATAATGAGCTATTATTTATAATGTATATTACTAATCTCTCATTGTTGATGTTATATTTTCACTTCTATCGTTCGTTCTAGAGCACACACCTAAGTTTTTAGAGTTTTCATATGTCATAAAACCAGGATATGTTTTATTATATGTTTTACAGGATAATTTTTTATTGAAAATAAATGTCAAACAATAGATAAAAACAAATTAGTTTACTTTGAGAATAACAATTTACTAATTTGTGATGGAAGAGTGTAATTTAATTTTAAGAAGTTCCTTTTTTTACTTTCCTACCTATAATAGATAAGGAAAGTATTGCAATCGGGTCAAATTTCCGACAAGCGGTTTTCGACGGATCTATACGTTTCAGAGCCCCCTGAGTCCGAAAAACACATTTTTAGCCATTGGTTTGTCTGTCTGTCTGTGCCAAGCACAAAAATGGCTCTAACGATTTTGATGAAACTTTCCTATAATGTTCTAATCATTGTTCTTTCAATTTTCAATTCTTCAATAGACTAAATTCCCGAAAAAATTCAGGAAAAAAGTTATAAAGAAAACAAAAATGCTATGGGGGCCTAACATGCTAAGGGCAATACGCTGTTTAGCCTTTCGTTTGAAAGGTAATGAAATTCTCTACAAAGCCATATAAAAATCGTTCATTTTGGACAACTATTAACGAAGTTACAGCTATTCAATTTCCAATGTAAGATTACGGTTACATATCCTGGTGTCAGAAATGGATGAATGACAGAATAAAGATGACTAAGTGAAAGTAAGAAAATCTGTTGCCCGCATCACACAACTTTCACTATTTCCTATACTTTAACAGAAATTATTGCTTGTCAATACTAACCTATGCCAAACAGTTTTTGATCAGCACTATTAGGAAGTACTGAAATTTTCACACTGATATACCTTAAGCCGGTTTACATTGCTTTAGTTTATCAAATAAATCGTACTCAAATCTTATGTTTGATCAATTTTCAGGAAGATGTATCTAGTTCAATTCTTTTTTTTTTCTTCATGAAAATACGTAAAGATATAAAAACTTTTCTGAAATAGGTAGGAAAGTCGTGTGAGTGGACACACCAGATTTTTTTTTTTGTAACTTCACACCCTAATAAAACAAAGCGTTTATAGTTCTGGTTATAACATCATTAGTACAATCGAAATAATATATTAAATTACGTAAGTTTTACGAATCTGTAACATTCCTAAACATGTGACAAAAAGTAACTGGCGATACTTAAGTAAAAAAGACTCAGTTAGTTTTTTATCAAATGCATGTGATTTATAAACTTACATGTTATTTTTATAAACTTACACAATCCTTAGGGACACCGAGATACTGAAATATCTTCTTCTAAGGAAGTGCTCCATTCATAGTAACTTAAAAAACAAAAGGAAAAGAAATAAAGTCACTTCTTAGAGACAACCGAATTCTTACTCAAACAATTTCTTCAGAAGCCCATTTATTTTTTTACTGGTTCGCTTTTGAGTTATGAGTTTCCGTAGACCAATTGATCAATTTTTGATTTTTTTTTTCAAATCCTTCATTTATTTAGGTCAAAACGCAGGAGATTTTAAATAAATTTCAAAATAAAAAGTATAGGCACCCAACCTGTACTAACCAAAGTGGAACCGCAGCGAATTAAACATTAACTAACCCCAGTGAGAATCAATCCCACAACGTTCGGACCATTCTCAGACCTCTTACGCTCAATGAACAGAGCCTCCCATTTAATGATTGGTTGTTAAACTGTTAAATGGAATTTAACAGAAAAACTGTGAGAAATCTGTTATTGCCGTCGGTTCTGGTTCTAAGTTGATGAATTCTACCCTTTAAAAAAAATTATAATTTTTTTTTTTAAACAATTCCCAAACATAAATTGGTCTTTTGGTTCCTATTTGGAATGTATATATCGAAAATAAATATACATAATTTCATATCGGAACAGCTATAAACGTATTCTAAAAATAGCAACAGATAGGCTTAAAACAAGAAAGCCCAACCTATTCAGAAATTGACTACCTACTATCAGAAGTTTTTAATAACGGGGCCAGAAAATCCAGAATAAGAACTGAAGCTAGTTCGTTTTCAATCCTTAAAATTAAGAACTTTTCCGCCAAATCATCTCCGATAAAATTGATCTCAATATATCCTTAAAAACTCCCAATGACCTATATTGTGCCGTCAATTCCTTTACTACTACAATCCAACAAGCTGCCTGGACTGCCTCCTCTCCAAAAGACTCCCCAATTGTATCCTACGTACTACCCACTTTCCTCTATTATGAAAACACTCCACTATTATCCTTTTTCCGAAACCAGGCAAACCTTCCAACAGCTTGACATTCTGTAGACCAATAAGTCTACTCCCAATCCTTTCAAAGATCTTTGAAAAGATCCTTTTGAAACGAATCCTACCCTTCATAGAATCCCAAAATCTTCCTTCCCATCAGCTTGGTTTTCGTTCAGAACACTCTACTGTTCAACAAGGACTCCGAGTCGTTGACCATATTTCAGCAGATCTAGAAATCAAGCAATACTCTTCGGACATAGCACAGGCTTTTGACCGGGTATGGCACCCAAGGCTGCTCTTCAAGGTTAAAATCCATCTCCCTCAGTCCTCATAACTAATCCTTCGATCCTACCTCTCCGACCGCTTCTTTCGAATACGCTGTGGAACAGCTACTTCTGATATTTATCCTATCAAAGCCGGTGTTCCCCAGGGCAGCGTCTTGGGTTCCGTACTTTACATCCTTTTTATTGCTGACATCCCTGCTGATTCCGATACATTCCTTGCAATATTTGCTGATCCTATCATCCAATTCAGATCTGACCAGCTGAGTGAGGGCGCTGGGATCTCCTAGAGTCCTGCCTTTCCTTCCATGAGTGGGAGGGAAAGGCTTGGCTTGTAGCTCTTGAGTGAATGAATTTTTTTTTTTTATATATTGTATAGAAGCATGTGGGTATTTGATAATTATTTTCTTTTTGTTTTGTTTATATACATTTATTTTTGGGATTAATATTTTTCTATATTATTTACTTTTATTTATTGAGAATGGAGTGTGAATGTGTTCTTTGAACACTATTATAAATGTCCTTAAATGTGACAGATTGTAATATCTCTCAATAAATATGTTAAAAAATTAAGAAAAAATATAAAATCAATACGTGAATATTTTCCAAGTAATATCAGAGATTTAGGCGAAAAACGAAATATAAGTTTAAGATTTTTAGTGCCACATCACTTCCCTCGAGCTCCCAACTGATCGATATGTGGTCGAACCATAGGAACTGTGCATTACATTAATTAAATTATTTAACTATAAAAAAATAATAAAATAGATGGAGGAAAATCAACACATCATTTAAAATAACATATTATTATGAAGGTGTAAAAAATAATTTAATACACATCTTTGAAGGTAGTGAGTGAGTTTAAAAATATTTTCATGTTTTTAATATTAAGGGGCTATCCTTGTTTATATTTTAAAAAGTATCGCACTGAGATATTTTAATAATAAGGTAGGTAATTTAGAATAGTAAAATTTATAATTAAAACTATTGTGAAAATATATCGATGTATTTATTAAAAATATAGTTTGAAACCATAGATGGGTAAAATCGGAATAAATGAGTACATGATTACAACTGAATATAAAACTTAATTGACCACACAAATTTGTACTAGATTCAATAGCACTATAAATGTAACAAAAATCTGACAAGATTACCTGATTACAATCGTAATAGAAACCTGATTATGATTACAGTCGTGTTATCACAATCACTGTAATCGTAATCGTTATCGTTTCTATGAAAGATTTATTTTTTACAAATACATATTTAATGATAGACAGTGTTGTTTTTAAATTTAAAATATGGCGTGACCTTGGTTCATAAGCTTAATAGATTTTTTTAAAACTACTTCTCTTCATTTGAGTGGTTAGTAAATCGATACGGAACACCTGTTTTACGAAATTATAAAATTGAAAGATGATCGAAAGTTAATTTTTTTTTTTTGTATGTTTTTATTCACCCTAGTTTTTCAATGATAAAAAAATAAATGATCGGGTATATGACAAATATTAAATTAGTTAGAAGTATACCAATTGGACATTGATTAATTTCAAAACAATAAGTCATACGACATAAGTTAATTTTTATTTAATTATTACGATAAAGTATATACATTTTCAAATACATCATTTTAAATAAATGCAAAAAACAAAAAAAACTCAGAAGATGATCTCGAGATACAGCTGTTATAACCGACTTGGTGTGGACGCTGATTTATTATGTTACATTCTATTTACAATGAAAATTTTGATTTTTATCATTATATAAAATTTAGATAATCCATCTGAGAATTGAAGAAACACAGTTCCAAATTCTCTTTGGAGCACCAAACCTATCAATAAAAAAATTTAAGAAGTCACAAAATCGACAGGAGAGAATCCCCAAGAACAGATGATTACACTTGAAGGAAGCGGTGGCAACAATATTTGCCATCATAAGTTAATTGATTAATTTATTTATTTTTATTATAAATTTTTAAACAAAAAGTAATAGGATTAGAGTGGGGACGGTAAGTAGTTTTATTTTCGACTTAAAAGTAGAATTCGAAGGAGGGAATCGTAAACATGGTGAAAACGCTCGATTTTTTTCATCTCGCTCTCTAGTGCACGATTAGAAAATTCCCAAACACATGTTCACACATATACACAAACCCAAACATACATGAGTACTTGAGCAAGGTTAAGATTTACCGATGTTGCCTCAGCACAGAATTCAAACGAATTTTATTCCGACTGGTCAATCAAAACTTATTGCACAGTGGATGCTGGGAGATGAACATTGAAACCAAGAAACCGTTGGAGCATAGTAAAGGTATTTAACATGTTAAATATTGGTATTTTGTTTATTGTTCGTTGGGTTATTAAAAGGTTGCTAGCTATTTCGGTATTCCACCAAAAATTAAAAATAAATCCGTGAGTGGGAACAAAATGGCCTCAATCGTCGATGGAGTTAGGAATATTTTTTACCGATGATAGTTTTTCTTTTTATATCAGAGTTATGTATTATTTAATACATTTTAAAATTAACTATTAAGCTACACATTTTATTTATCTGAATTTACAATTTTTAAAAGTGTTATTTCATGATAAATCCTCAAAAATATAAAAAGAATTTCATTATATATATTTGAAACTTAAGTATGAACATCTTAATACTTACATGGAATAAGAAGCGTCAAAAAGTGACATGAAGATATTTTTTAATTTTACGTCTCATATTAGAATTATTTACATTAATGGCTGATTCTGTTTGCTATTTGTTCTCTTTCACATAATTATATTTTATACCTATTATGCTCTACGATGAGTTGTGATAAATGAATCTATTCTCAGATTTTATTATTCGAATAAGTGATTGCGATTTAAGACATTCACTTTTATAGTTAGTGTTATTCCTTAATTTAATTTCACATCAGTACATCGAAATCACGTATAATTATGGTGAGTAGACTTTTGCATTGAACTTTGATTTTGCAGCTTCATTAATGCTATGTGATTTGCAGACTACGAAAATCTTCCTCCAAGATCGAATATTAGAAGACGAGACAGAAGTTCCTTTGCCTATCATTCTGACAAGTGGTATTTTCGCTTGTATAACTGGACAAGCAGTTGCATATCCTCTTTCAATGGCAAGTACAGCAGTGCAAGCTTCAGGTAAGTTTTTAAGTTTAAAATTATAGTGTTATAAAACTTAATTAAGTTTCTCCGCTAAGAGAATACCATCCGAGTGTCTTCCACTACCGATCTAATATGGTGCCTTCAGCATGTATGTCGCCAAGTACTTCGCAGCAATACACCAATCACGAGTCGGGGACATAAATATGAAGTATAAATAATATTCTTTACAACAGACCTATTTATATCTGCAGACCACGTTCTGGTTAATTATTTTTTATCTTTGTTAAGATCTCCATACATTCTAACCTTAGTTCCAGTTGCTGTTAAAAAAAAAAAAAATACAAACTGATTAGAAATTCAGAATTTATCAGCAGTTGATGAAAGCAAAATATAACTAGGTATGAAAAATGTTACTCTCAAACATGAGAAAATAGGCTACTCTCTGATTTGAAAGTTTATTGGGGGCGCCTAGTGAAATTTGACCGCGTGCGCCTACTTCCCACGTGATTGTCAGCAACACACCAGCCTGTGAAATATCTCAAACTTTAAAAATTATAGCTCGGTATATACATTTACTTATGAATAAGTAAGTTTTCTCTATTGTATTTTGTTTAATTCAGCTTTCAGTTTGTATTATTATAAAAGGCAAGTTTATATCTCAGTTCTTAGTCTCCAAATGTCACCTATTACTGAAAGGGGTTTATGAGCTTTCCATAGACAAATCTTACCCAGAATATTACACCTCTTTATTCATTTTACTCCCATCAGTTTATGACAAAGGTGCTTTTTTCCCATGATGCTTGGTTCCATTTTTCCTTCCTTAAGATTCCTTATTTTTCTAAGCAGCATCGGATCCATTGTTTAATTTTTTTGATTTGATTTGATTTGAGAGAGGCTTGATTAATGTTTTTTTTATATAACGGTAACTACAGTGGAAGAAAGCATATAAAATAACTTTGAAGTGGTCCTGGAAGGCCAAAAAATACGGTTTACAAAACGATAATTCATATATTAGGAATAATTTTTTTTTGTTGGCAAATGTTTACATTTACTAGCTTTTAATATTTTGATTGTATAAGTATTCAGCTTACTGAACTCACAGAAACAAACAAATATGCAAAAATGAATCAAATTCTGAAAAAAACAGGTTTTCCACTTGGTGGGAGGAGAGGAGATGAGATAATTCATATCAAAATCCCCTGTGGATCTGCCAATGTCTCTAGGGGAGGTTTTCTCATTTTGTGCCAAATTAGTTATTATTTATTTCCCACCAAACCTGTTTTTCAGGTTCCATCAAGATTTGTTGTATATTATACAAACATTTGTATTCTATCCCTCTAGTAAGAATAAAATCATTTAAATATTGTCCTCAAATCTCTTTTCATTTTCTAAGGATGCCATTATATTCATAGCCTTCTTTTCCTAGTGGCCCTTTTTTTTCGTATAATGTGTGCAATAAGTATATGCTCTGTGTTCTTCAGTACTCCATGGCTGTATCATAGATGGATGATTTTCTTATTTAGTTACAGGAGCTTGGTATGGAAGCTTCCAGGTCATTCTTCACTATGTTCACTTATATAATTTTCTTCTTTTTCCTGAAATTCTTGTCAAACCTGATATATTCGACGATAGTCCTTTTCTGCATTTTAATATTTATACCCTCTTCTGGCAGAAGGAAAGTGTGAGATAACTATCTAGCTAAATCTTATCCCGTTTCAGAAAACATAAGTCTGTACACCCTGGTGATTTATATTCGATGAATCATCATCAGTCTACTCTTTTATTGGAATGAGAGATTCTGGCTGGCCAATAAGACTAATTGCTTGTATTTTTTTTCCTCATTGAAGTGAATTCTAACATCAGCAATATTAAAATTTTCAGAGATGTATCTCCTTTTAAAGTAATCATGTAACGACCCTGCTTTTGGTTCCTTTTCATTTACCCTTTGTTTGAAGCTTATATTTTACAGGACTCAAGCCTAAACACCTGCCATATCACACTGGGGAGGGTGTCATAAATTATTGAAATCATCTTCTATTTTCTGTTTTTGGTTCATTGATGAACAATTCTATTGTAATAGAATTATAATATTATTGTGGTAGATTGTATTATCATCCATCCAATGTATTATTTTAGATTTATTTTGTTTATGACTCGTGTCTTTCAACTTAATTTTGAGCTTAAGTAAAGCTAATACATTGTTTTATTAATATTTTTATCTTTAATAATTTTAATAAAAGGAATAACTTTTCATGGAAATAATAATAGTAACAAGCTTTATTGACATCAATAGATTTGACAAAAGCCTCTCGTCTCCTTGGTAGGTATTTTAATGGAGTAAGCTACAGTACAAAAGAGTACATACTACCACTTATTTTAAAACATGTAAAATAAAACAGTTTTATTATAAAATAGTTCTGTTTTATTTCATATTCATGAAAAGATAAAGTATATTAATAATTGAATGTGAACATTTGAGAATCTTTCTTCTTCAATGATAAGAAATATACCACAAAATTAATACAATGTTCCAGAGTTGTACTAAATTCCTAATAATCAACTAAAACATAATTTAAATTGGTTACATTGTAAAATATTATTATAAATCAATATCAAATAAGTACATAAACAATTTCAAATGTTAAATTATTTACTATTATTCGATACTTATCACTTTAATTTAATACACATTCTCATTCCATTATTGACATTGAAAAAGAACACTGACAATTTTTGATAATATATGAATTAAATTTATTTATTTATGTATATGAATTAAAAATTTAATATTTTTTATATTTATGTATGCATATTTTTTCAGAGATAGTTCTCATTGAGAATAAAGTGAAACATTTTTTTCTTTTCATATTTAATGTCCTATTTATAGCTTATACTTATTTAATTTAATATTATATATTTTTTTAATCTGTTAATTTTCAGAGACAAAAGTTGAGGCCCGAGATATATTGTATAAAAGGTTTAAGCAACGAGGGTTATATGGCTGGTATCGAGGGTCTAGCATGTCATATCTGAAAGCATTACCAGCAGTCTCTCTCACTTATTTAGTCTATGAAGTGACATTGAACCAACTTGGAGCTCATATGACACACTGATCATGGATAACAGTTTTTTAGGCCTAGATTCAGAATTTGTTGGCAATCTTGTTTACGGAGGTGTAGCCATTTATACTATTATCCGCAACTTCTTTGGAATTGCTGTAATATTTTACAATAATTGGAATGCATTAAATATACTGAGATGGGTTCTTTCAGTTTACAATTTTGGGAGAGCCTTGCTAACAATATACAGAATATTTTACGGAAATGATTCGGATAATAATTTATACCAAATTGGGATGACAATGATTAATGTTTTTGGATTTAATATCACCCTAATTGGTCTTTTAAGTGTTTTATTGGCCACTTCAGGAGTTATTGGCAAAGGGTTTACTATTTACAATTCATTGAAAGTTGTATTAGCAGTTTTACAGTTAATTGGTGGAAAAATGGATCTCTATAATAGTATAATGGCTGGGATAACAGTGCTCCTGGGTTAATTTTATCTCATTATAAATAAAGATCTCTGATTCTATATTGTTTTTATTTATTAACAAAAAGTATAAGTTCACTAAATATATTTGTGATGGGTGTGTGTATGTGTGATATGTGAAACTATGTTTCATTTTCAAGCAACAAATTTTTATATTTAAAGTATTCAAACAACAAAACAAGATTCTCATGAAATTGTTAATACAATCTAGTTTATTTAAAATCAAAGTATACACAATACCAAGTATATACCAACTCCTATTGAATCTTATATGGTAAATATATCTTGTTCCATTCTGCAACTCATTATCACCTCCAATCCATCCGTGCAATCTCTTTAATTCAGTCTGTTTCCCGATGGGCCTAAAGAATGCTGAGAGATTTCCTGCGAACTAATAATGCCATTATTAAACTAATATTTTCATCACTTTGCAAGTCAAGGTAGAAAATAACTAATTTGATTTGTATTTTGAACAGAGTTCATAATATAATATGGAATTATAATGCATACAAATAGTTATCAAGATTTTGTATGAAAATATAAAATTAATTTCATTTATAAGGAAATCATAATAAAATGTTTCTCAGGCAGGTAATTTTTGATATTTAAAATGTGTATATTTTGAATTTACTATGATAAATGTTAAAATTACAATCTTTGAGACAATTTGCATTCAAACTGTGAAATGTCCAGTGAGAAGAGCAGTTAATAGCCACCATTTTTATGGCTTAAATAATTTGAACATTTTTAATTTTTAAAAGTACCTAGAAAATACATGTTCAAGTTTAAGTTGCAAAACGTCATTAAGAAATCTAATAACCAAGTATTTTGATCATTTTTCAGTCTTGAAATGAGATCACTAGAGTAATTAGTTAGATTTATAAAATAAGTTTTATCATTTGAAATACTTACTACGTTTGTGCATCCATAAACAAAGTAAAAATTCATAAAGCCAGACTTAAACGTTTAGCTCCTTCAAAATTGTACTAAATGACTTTTTGCTATAAACCTACAATATATCTGTGGCACCTGTGAAAAGTGTGGCCTGTGCAATTATGTGGATTTTTATGGGTATCAACAGAAAGCTAATTTTTCTCTCTTTATTTGTGTGCAATAGGTTAAGCTACGTGGTTATTACAGAAATGAACATTCATTTGTGAATAATGTACCTGAAACTCTAAAATTGAACTTGCACCGTTGAAAATTCCAAATTTTCAATTTCATTTTTCTATAACTATATCAAATATATTTACAATGAGTGTACAATTTTCTGATTTCACAATGGAGAAATTCATCAAAATTCAGAGCGATCACGGGCGGATCTACGGGGGGGAGGGAGCTTTCGGGCTGAAGTCCCATCCAAAATGGAAAAATATATCCATGTTTTATGGGAAAAAAATTTAAAAAATACCTCTTAAAGTATTATTGTTCGTGTAATTACATTTAAAAGTACTTAAGGAATAACTTAAACACCATTTAATATAGGTAGTTAGTTTCTTTCTGTTTTTCCAAAGTAATTATCGTTATTTTTATGAAAAAAAAGGTTTCGGGCTGAAGCCCTCCCCAAAATTAAATCCTGGATCCGCTAGTGAGAGCGATTTATGGCTATGAAATGTCAATAACTTTTTACAATAATCCAACGAAATCCTAGTCTCTAGAGAACGAGACAAATACAATAAAAATAAAATTTAATCATATAATTTTGATTAAAAATAACTTCCGTTAATTTCAATTTCTATGTTTTAAGAAGATTTTTTAAACAAATTAATTTGAGTGCTAAAAAAAATTTCTTTGACTTATCTTAAGCTGATTATTATTTTTTTTTTGAAAATGATATTTTTAATAAACCTTTTTTTAATAATCAGAGTATCTTTGAACCTTTGAGGGATAGTACATGCATACAATACATGATAAGGCAAATTCCCCCAGTCAAAATAACCATTGAAAAAAAAAAATACAGCTGTTTATAACATACCTACCGGCATTACTACCAATATTCGTAGATAAATTACCATTCATTAAGTTAAGAAGAATTTTTTTTTTTGGGGTCCTTTCCTTCCTCGCCGTTAAGGCTATACGGGATTTTCCCGGGCCAGAGAGTGTGGGCGGGGATTTAAAAGACTCTCCCAGCACCGGGACGCGAACTCGTGATTATTTTTATATCTTTGATTCATATGTCAGGTTGCCAGGCAACGGTGGTGCAGTGCACACGCTTTAGCCCATTCGGCCACCCCGCCCACTAGTTAAGAAGAATTTATATTTATTTATTAACCAAACATTAAATTCGAAAATCAACAAATTGCTTTGCAATGAGCAAACTTTTTGGCAGCTTCAGAGCGTCCCATCACAGGAAATAAATCATTTCAGCAAATCTCTTGTAATTATCGAGATGGGCTTTATGGGATTTCATGTGTGTTAAAGGATTAGGATTAGGCCAGTATTTGGTGAAAGTTATTGTTTTAGTTAAGAAAAATCTCACAAACATTTACTTGCGAGAAATCGATCGTTGTAGATGCATCAATTAATTAAATCATTTTGTCGATGTCCAAGACTTATTTATTTATTTATCAACCCTGCCGTGCCTAGTAGGCAATACGGGTATCTGCAATAGTAAGATGTTAGGCAGGTCAGCTCAACATCTCACTGCTGCAAATGAATCTCGTTCTTCTGCTCCTTCTTCATTTTTTCCTCTTTCTTCATGGGTGCTTTCCTCATCCGTTTCACGCCAATGGTATAGCACCTCTTCCTCCTCTTCTTAAATTAAAATGGGCTGGCCCCACCGCGACTTTCCACCCGTACACAAAATCTTTGTAGTACGGGTAGTTTTCCGCAGTGACTAACTGAGGAAAATCGTTCTCTGTGAGAATGTAGAGACCGGTTTCCCTCAGTAACTTAGCCCTTAGGTCTTCAAAGGCGGTGCAGTCCACTATGATGTGCTCAGCAGTCTCCGGAACACCGCAGCTAGGGCATAGGGGGTTGATGTCCATCCCATGGCAATGAAGCTTTGCTCGAAAGCCCCCATGGCCTGTGAGAAATTGCGAGATCCAATAGTCTGGGACGATCCACCTTGCTTCTAAACGTGACCGGACGTTGGGGAAGTACTTCCTCAAGGTAGATCCTTTGGGGGTTATCACCCATCGCCGGTTCCATTCCTCCAATGTGTCGTCCCGTATAATGTTTTTCCATTTGCAAGGATTCTCGTCAATTCTCACCTTAAGATGTTCCGGTAGACCTGCTGAGCCGTTTTTCTTGAACATGTGCCTCATCATATCTTCTCGCAGGAGAAGGTCGAGAGGTACCCCTCCTGCTAATACCTGCACCGCCTCATGGGATACGCTTCGATACGACCTGGTGACCCGCAGCAATGCCGTTCGCTGTATTGTCGCCAACTTACTCTTCTGTCGGTGCGAGAGGTTCTGGTTCCAGGCGGGAGACGCATACCTCATGATACCCAGAATGACTCCCTTATAAATTGTTAAGGTTGCTGGGTATCTGAGGCCCCAGAAAGCGCCCCCAACTCGACTGAGACCGTTCAAAGATAGGGCCACCCTGTTTTTAAGATAGTCCAAGTGAGGGGTAACGCTGAATTTTTTCCCAAATTTTACGCCTAGATAAGTGACCACCTCACTTGGACGTATTCTCGAACCTTGAACCGTTATGTTAATAGGGTGTGCCCTGTCAGTTTTCCCTTTCATGACAATTGTATGAGTCTTTGAAGCGGCCATTGATAACTTTTTCCTCTCGCACCATTCTCCGACCAAGTTGGCGCATCGTTCCGCTTCTTGTCTTAAGCCGGCTATGCTATTGGAGGCCACCACTACTGCCAAATCGTCAACGTATCCAGTGGCAGGGAACCGCTGTTCTTCTAATACTCCCAATAACTCATCAAAAACGAGCTTCCATAAAGCTGGACCAAGTACCGATCCTTGAGGACATCCCCTCTCTATGAAAGCTTCAGTCTCATAAGAACTGCCACGAACCTTAACACGTCTATCCTGTAAGTAGCTTCTTATCAAGGCATATAAGTTACTGGGAGCATCATATTTCTGCAGCTGCTGGAGCACAAGAGGCCACCAGACGCTGTCGAAGGCGGAGGATATGTCGAATAGCATCAACATGACATACCGCTCCGTCGTCAGTTCAACGTCTTCACGTACTCTCAGCAGGGCATCAGCGGTTCCCTTCCCCTTAGTGGAGCCGTATTGCCGTGGATGACTTGCTCTGGCAAGAACTGGTGCTAGACTGGTCATGATAAGGTTCTCCAGGACCTTGCTCATCACAGGGAAGAGGCATATTGGTCTATAGGACTTGGGGAGCTGTTTATCCCTATTCCCTCCCTTGTAGAGGAGTCTCAAATCGGCGATCTTCCAGGTTTTGGGAAAGTATCCCCTCTCCAGACAATCATTATATATTCCTAAAAGTCTCTCATCAATGTAGGGAATACTACTCTTTAGGATCGCCGCATCTATAGCATCGAGTCCTGGAGCACGACCGATTTTCTGCTTATCCACAGCAATACGGAGATCATATATGTCCCATCGTGGGCACAAGTCCGTATCCGGTGGGTATGCCGTGGTGCGTCTCACGAAGTTTTCCTCATCGCTGTCTTGAGACGGATCATCCCTGGGGTACGTCCTCGCAATGAAGATTTCGGCTGCCTCCTCGAAGTTGGTTGCCTGAACATCTCCGTGCTTGAGGGCTGCCAATGTTTGCTGCGTACTAAACTTCCCCATGGCTACCCTATAAGGAATACCCCAGGGATTCTTCGTGGACTCTTCAACAATGAACTCATCCCAGGACTTTTTTTTCTGTGAACGCACCTCGTTTCGGTACACCCGGGCCTTGGACTTGTACTGATCACGGAGTGTAGAGCGCCTCTCGTCGCAACTACACCTCTGATACAACCGCCGTGCCTTGTAGAGCTCTCTCTTAAGGTTTGTTAAGGCCGGCGTCCACCATGGAACAGGTCGAGCTTTCGCCTTCCGGTGCTGAAGGGATTCCTCAGCGGCATCACAGACAATATTAGTGATCCTAGACACCCT